AGTTAATACTCGGGGTCGACATAAACACAACATGCACTTCCTTTTATCCTCAACGGTAACCATGGCAACGGCCGTCACGGCAGGATCTGCTTCCTTGTTTGTAGTCGTTTTCGTGTTTGTTTTGGTGAGAGAAAGGCCTTTCTTCCTCAGTTCTATGGAAACAAATGGCCCCTGTCGAGAAATCCTGACCTCTATATATATATTAACTTGGTGCAAATAACCTTAACGTATGTCTGTCCATTATAACCGGCACTGCATGTGTATAGACTGCAACTTCTCTTTCTGAGATAAACTTCTGTGAAATAACAAGAAAGGGAATCGGAAGACTTGGATCATTCTGACTGAAAACGATTCTCAACTTTCCTCACTGGTACTGATCTTAACAGGGCTTTAGAGAATTGACAGTGTGTTTTCAACATCTAACAGGTACGACGTTTTAGTGAACTACGGTATATCCGGTGTTTGAACATACAGGCATTGATTTAAAACCTAAAATTCGCCAGTTGTTTGGCCTTATGAGATGCAGCTAAACCTGGATGTTTGACGTTGCCAGAAACATTCGATGACGCCTCGTTCTGACTTCGTCTCCATGTAGTTACCGTTGTCGTTGCCAACGGTCCCCTCTGTTTTTAACAGAATCGCTATCGCTCTTACTACCTATCGCTCTGCATTTCGTTGACTACAGCATCGTTCCGAGTTCTGCTACTGACAAGATGTTTACAAGGCTGCATATTCAAGGTATTTAAGCAGACATTCATTGTATTTTAAAGTGTTTAAAGTGTAGATTACCAATGAAATTGGCCGTAGTTTGACAGCAGTAACGGTGGGGATGACTGGCCGCCATTTGCAATTTTGTGAAAATTCCCAAATATGTATCTGTTTAATGTCTTTTCTGCCAGTGAAATGAAAGCTCTCGGTATTTATATACGACGGACGGTATTGTTATAATCCTATAGACATGTTTTTACCATTTATAAGACATGGTTTCCGAATATTTTTTTCTGTCCAAATATTCGGGCTATAACGGCTTTAGTAATAGATGGATTGTGTATCAAAAGAGTGATTAAATGCCCATTATTATTCCTGTAACACATTCTCGTGGCCAATACTCTTCCCGAAAGAGACTCCATTGGCTCCATGGTCTATATTATTGGCAATCCGCCTGTCTACCATCTTTCGTTCTGGGCCCGCCCTGACCACGGCGAGACACTCCTGCCCCAGTCACCATCACCTATGTCGACTATTACCCTGTCCCAAGTGACGACGACAGTGACTACTGGGTCTATGAGGACGAGGACGACGACAGTTTTGTGGAGGATATTCACCCCGTGAGGAAGGCGCTGAGGAGAGTGGCTGCCTTCTTTAGGAGAGTATTCTCGTAGATTCCTCATCCAATGTGCATGTGTGTGTGCGTGTGTGTGATGTGTGTGTGTGTGTGGTGTTGTGTGTGCGAGAGTGCTTGTTGTATAAGGTGTGTTTGTGAAAGAATGCGCTTTGTATGTTTCAAGTGAGAGAGAGTGTGTGTGTGTGTGTGTGTGTGTGTGTGTGTGTGTGTGCGTGTGGCAGTGAATTTGTAGGTGTGAGAACGTGTTTATGAAGTTTGATCGGATGTAAACGTGTATGTGTGCGAGAGTGCTTGTTGTATGGTGAGGTGTGTTTGTGAAAGAATGCGTTTTGTATGTTTGAAGGAAGAGAGGGAGATTCTTCTGTGTCTGTGATGTACATGTGATTTGCATGCCTGTTCTGATGTGCATGTTTTCAGGTTGGCTGACACGTTTGGCTGCCCGTATAATCCCCTATTATCCCATTTACCCCTCTTTGGTCTTTTTTGGCTACAATTTTGGGCTTTCTTTTGGACACACCCTTTCGATCAAGTATCTTTTGGCATACCCTTTGGCTGACATTTATTCCTCTTCTAATAAGAGGACCATTCTTCCCTTTTGGCCCCGATTCGGATACTTTCTTTAAGCACATGCCATTCTATTTCTTGATATATAATAAATATTAGTGAATGGTATACACATGAGTCTGTTTTCCTTCCTTCTTTGGATCTACTAAGAACTAGGGGACAGTAACATAGCAGGAGAGGCAATTGAACCAAGCCTGTTTTATCGTTATACAACTTGAAGTTGCTATAAGAGTAAACGAATTAACAAATGAAGATATTGAGGGGTCGTTTGCTCTATCCCGCTGTGTTGCTGTCTTCTAGCCGAGTGTTTAACAAGTTCTCTGTGATGGAAATGACGGAGTCTATAGTCGTGTGCAGCTGTAGCTACAAACCTGATGTCGGAAGTCTAGATATTTTACGATGGCTTTACTTACTATAAGTTATATGCACAGGTGAATGATCGAGAGTGGTCTCCCTTCACTCTTTGTGGCTGTTTAAGCGTCACCCCGTCTTTAATGAGTGAGTCTGCTTTTACGCCGCATTGAATTGAATATCCTCACTGCATGGTGAATTCCGTAATATAAATAAGAGCATTGCATCTAAAGAACTACTTAGTTGGTGGTTGGTGTGTACGTAATAACAAGTGGATGATAGTGGTCACAACATAAATGGATTTCACACAGTATGGGTTCGAACCCAGGACTTCGGCGGAACAAACGCTTTAACCACTAAGCTATACGCCAGCCCATGTATCTTAAAGCATCAGAAAACGCCAGTTAAAGAATATCAGCGCTTAGTTTCAAAAGACTCAAAATCAGCATTAGAGATCATATCTACTGCCTTCAAATGACGAAAACTTAAAAAACTTCAAAATTAGAAAATCCCAAGAAGCAATCTGCATCACAAGATACCAACAATCAGCCGTGAATATATATGTTTTGTTTGAGTGGCATTCTTGAAGTTGGTGGTATAGAGATAACAAAAATTTATGGATGATCGACATCTTTATTTTATTGATTTCCGAATCTATACCGAAACGTCGCTATTGTGAAAATAAAGAAGTTGATCATCAATAATGTTTTATCATCTCCGTGAAAATATACATTCAAACATTAACATCTTAATGCTAGACATCAACATACAAAACTACTCAAAACTGTAGACTGAAACAATTACTAACAGTGGCACATGACATGACGCCAATTTCAAACATAGTTTTTATACTGAGAAGTGATATCTAGCCAATGGATACATTAAATAATATTAATGATGATAATATCTGAGATGATGGTTCCACAACATATTATTTTAGAAGTATTTATACATGTTGCACGATCACTACATACATGTGTGTTTATGTTTAATGCCGCACTCAGCAATATTCAAGCTACATGACGGCGGTCTGTAAATAATCGAGTCTGAACCACACAAGCCGGTGATGGTCATCATGAGCATCAATCTACGCATTTGAGATCATGTTACGAGACCCGTGAAGATCCGGGGTAGAATAGGTCTTCAGCAACCCACGTGCTTGCCATAAAAGGCGACTATGCTTGTCGTAAGAGGCGACTAACGGGATAAGGTGGTCAGTTTCGCTGACTTGGTTGACACATATGTCATTGGTTTCCAATTGCGCAGATCGACTGTTGATCACTGGATTGTCTGGTCCAGACTCGATTATTTACAGACCGCCGCCATATAGCTGGAATATTGCTGAGTGCGGCGTAAAACTAAACTCACTCACTCACTCTTACGATGACAAGCCTGGCCATCTCATCATGTTAGGGGGCAACAACAAGCACCGTGTCTATATTATCTTCACGAGTTTCTTACATAATGCTTTCTTAAAAGAAGTTGCGTGTTTAAAACCTTGCCACCTCTCATCGAGGCGAAGTGATGGAATTCATGGCGTCTTCAAAAATATAATTAATTTAGTGTTGAGCAGATCATCGTATACCAACTGCGTACATCGATGCTCATTCTGTTGATCACTGGATTGTCTGTTCCTGGCATGATTATTTACAGACCACCGTCGAATACAGCTGGAATATTACTGATTGCGGGGGGCGGGGGGTAGCCAAGTGGTTAAAGCGTTCACTTGTCACGCCGAAGACCCGGGTTCGATTCCCCACATGGGCAAAATGTGTGAACCCCATTTCTGGTGTCCCCCGCCGTGATATTGCTGGAGTATTGCTAAAAGCCGCGTAAAATCAAACTCACTCACTCACTCACTGATTGCGGCGTTAAACAACAAACAATCAAACAGCAAATTTCGCGCCAAACTACAAGGCGAAACTACCCTTTCAACAAAATTACAGTGGATGTCTTCCCAGTTCGACTTGCCACACGCCTCACATGTTCCAAAATTCGCAAAAGACTGAAGAGTTAGTGAGTGAGTTTAGTTTTACGCCGCAAATAGCAACATTTCAGCTTTATGGCGGCGGTCTGTAAATAATCGAGTCTGTACAAGACAAGCTAGTGATCAACAGTATGAGCATCGATCTACGCAATTGGTATACGATATGTGTCAACCAAGTCAGCAAGCCTGACCACCCGATCCCGTTAGTCGCCTCTTACGACAAGCATGGGTTACTGAAGATCAATTCTAACCCGGACCTTCACGGGTTCGAAAGACTGAAGAATAATGGACATTGAACAATCTTTCTCATTTATCTCACACCATGACGTTTTAAACAATTCCATACACATTGAAATTGTTTCACTTCCGTGCTTTCGTGAGTCACGAAAGAGTATTTATTTATTTAGAAATAATTAAGACACCGAATACATTTTGACAATCGAACATCGTGATGCACATTGAGCTAAAAGCACTCCATTGACCCTACATTAAAGGGAGGTCACTCTTATGCTAACCTCAATCGGAACATCTTCATGCCGAGAAGATCCGATTGTAAAATACTCTCCGTTCCTAGAGAAACCTTAACTCTCATGTTGCAATATTGATACACCTAAGTGGTTAGTAACTTATTACATTATATTATATGTATAAGTATAAATAGCACAAGACGCTTGTTGTATTTGGCAATACAGCGTAGGAGATAACAAACTGAAATTTGACATTTTACCTTATCTGGTTTGAGGCTAACTATTGCATAAACATAGCCATGTGCATTTGGCGGGTAGTTCTGTCAATATACAGAAGCAGAACTCAATTCTAGGTAATCATACATTGTCATGGTGCTTGGTGTGGATAGTTTATTTAATTATGGAAAACATTTAATTCCACCTGTCTAGTTGATTGATTGCAATTGAGAGACATGGCCAACTGTCGTCTCTATCAGCGGATTCTGTGTTGTCGATTTTGGGTGGAAGTGTGACCCAGTTTTGGTGTTTAAATTTTTGTTGAGTCAGATTTTCGTCAATCACGGTTTTTATCGCGGCTCTCGGCTAGGTATTTACTAATCTGGTAGCTATGAGGCAACATTCAAGTTTTCCGGACTTAGTCTATGTTGGCGCTAACTGCCGGCTTTCACAGATATAACATGCCTGAATTTCCGATCAGTTGTATTAGGCTAGGGTACATTACTCCAAACTCTGTCCTCAGCCTTTGTCAATCCATGGGTTAGGGTTAGTTGTGATGTGGGATGCACATGTTAGCAGAGACCATATACGGATGTATGGTCTCTGGTGTTAGCTAATATTAATACACATAAATATACTGATATGGATACGCGTGAAGGTCCGGGTTAGAATATTAATCTTTAGTAACCCATGCTTGTCGTAAGGGGCGACTAACGGGATCGGGTGGTCAGGTTCGCTGACTTGTTTGACACATATCATCGGTTCCCAATTGCGCAGATCGATGCTCATGCTGTTGATCACCATTTGTCTGTTCTAGACTCGATTATTTACAGATCGCCGCCATATAGCTGGAATATTGCTGAGTGCAGCGTAAAACTAAACTCGCTCACTATACTGTAAAGAAACCTGTATGATTTTTGTAAAGTATCCATTTTTGCAGAAAAAAATGGTTAATACATATGCACTTAAAATTTACTTGCAGTACAGTAAGGTAATTATTCAGGTGCCGATTACTGGGGTGAAAAGGTAACAGATCTGCACTAGGCTGCATTCACCAATATTTTTTATCCCAGGGCATAGGATTGGGGTTATCTACCTTGACCCTCACACAACTAACCCTAAGGATGAAGGAGGCATGAGAAATCAGTGAAGTGATAAGAAAGAATTTTTATGTGAAGTGCAAAGTCGTCTAGTTATATGCTGTATTATTTCTTTTTAAAAAATAGGGCCGGTGGGGTAGCCAAGTGGTTAAAGTTAAAGTGTTGGCTCGTCACACCAAAGATCTGGGTTTGATTCCCCACGTGTGTGCAATATGTGAAGCCCATTTCTAGTGTCCCCTGCCGTGATATTGCTGGAATATTGCTAAAAGCAGAGCAAAACCATACTCACTTTTAAAACTCTTTAATTGTTGGCAAACAGATTCTATAATCATCCATGGTCTATATGTTTTCAAATTATCAGAGGTGGGCCTGGTACCCTTCACTGTAAGGTAAATCCATAAAAATAGTTGTCTCATGTTTTCCTGGAAAAATGTGACTATACATCAAATATGTATATGGTTGTTTGTGCCTGTGTGATTATCAGGCGTTTGTCACCTGATAATTAGCACTTGTCACATGTGATCTGATGTTTTCTTGTTGATATTAAAGGTGGAGTAATAATCAGTAATGCCACCAAAGAGAAAAACAAGAGGAACTGGGAAATCACAGACAGATAAGGAAACCAAAGAGAAGTCAGATAATTATGATGTTGAAAAAACAGAAAGTAGCCAGAAAAGTTCTGTAAGAAGAATTAAAAATGAAACAAAAGAAAAGAATGAAAAGAAGACACGTCCTGTTAGGAAAAGAAGAAGTGAAGAAAATATAGACAAAAATGTGGTGCCATGTAAACAGAAACGAAAAGAAGTAAAACTAGAAAATTCTGTGTGTGAACAGAAAAGTTGGAATGGAAAGAAATCAAAATCTGGCAAATTGGTTCAGGAAGATTCACAGGAAAATATGACTGCGACAGAAGCAAAGAGAATGAGTAAAAAACAAATAGATTCTATTGATTCTTTTAACAACAAAAAAGCCTCAAAGAAAGTATTAAAACAAAAAGGTGAATTAATGCAAGATGGAAAAAATAAGCCAGAACAGGAGGATATATCTGATGAAGGAAAAATTGTTCATGAATCGTTGAAGAAGAGTGATAGTGAAGATGATGATAGTGAAGATGATGATTTTGAGGAAGTAGAAGACAAGACTGTTAAGGAAGTAAAAGTGGAAATGGTTGCCATGGAAACAAAACCCGATATATCACAACCTGTTGGTGTAATGAGTGATTCAGATTGCTCAGACTTTGAAAATGTAGAAAGTGTTGTTAAGTCCAAAAAAGATAAGGCAAAAACAGTTAAAAAGAAGCCTGCAGTTAAAACAGTTAAAAGCAAACCTGCAGTTAAAACTCTTAAAACTACACCATCAGCAAAGAGAAGAAGTAAATCTACTTCCGATGTAAAGAGCAAGTCTGGAACAAGAAAAAGGCAACATGGAAAAGCTGCTGCAGAGGTAAAATCTAAGTTCTCCAAGATGGATGGAGTTAAGCCTGAAGCAGACGTCCCTTCGGCTTCCCAAGTAGAGGATCTCGATGTGGGGGACGTTACAGCTGTCTTGTTGAGAATGGAAGGCGCAAGCTGCTCTCAATCAGTACCTTCAGGTCAAGGTGAAGGTGGGGAAAAGGTTAAAGGGTCAAGGTCAACAACTGATAGTGAAGATGATGATGAGGAGGAAGAGGATAGTGAAGACTGGGAGGAAGTGGAAGGTAATTGTTCATCAAGTTAAAACCACGGGTTTGATTCCCCTCATAAGTACAAAGTGTGAAGTCTATTTCTGGTAACCATGGTAACCCTTGCCATGATATTGCTGGAACATTGCTAATAGCCCAAACTATCTCATATCATTGTTGTGTGTGTGCACCTGTTTGGTTTAGCCATGCTGTAAGTTTTTACCCAAAACATTTTGTCACAACTTCACCTCTAACTGCCTAACCATTCCACATTTACAGGAATTTCTGTTTAGTTCAACATGCCAAACTCTCTTTTTATTCAGATCACAAAGGGAGCCCATTTAAATCTCAGATTCCACAAGAGCCGGTGGAAATCACTCTAGAAGCACCAGATATCATGAGGAAGAAAAGGTAGAGTGGAACCGTGAAGAAGAGTGATAGAAACCCTTCAGATGAAGTGTGTTCATAAAAGGATAGTCACACATTTTATTTCAGTGCTTGATGTTTCTCAAATTAAGTGTGAATTTTTTCACTTTTTATTATTATTATTTTTATTTGAAAAATTGTGAGGTTTTATTGTTTCTAATAACAAGGAACCAATCGTTTGTATTTTGCTAAAGGAAGAAGAAGAAGTTTGACTGGCTTGGTTATATTCAGCAAACAATGAGAAGATTTCAGAAGGATGTTCGAATGAACATTCATAAGGTAAGCATGTAGTTAAGTACACGCTGTTTCTTGACAATGCGCCTTCTCAGAACAACAACTTAGATCTTAGGAATGTACAGGTTAAGTTCCTGTATGTGGTTTAATTTTGGATTGAGTTTCTAAAAACTCCATCTAAACTGACATACCGTATCTCTAAGCCGACATTTTTCACCATGTTTATATTTCTAGGTTAAACTCACTCATTAGTTCTAGCAAGGGTCATGATCCAAGTGGACAACTGACCAGTATTTGACCTTCACATTGCTTATCCTTTGACCTTCACATTGCTTATCCTTTGACCTTCACATTGCTTCCCCTTTTACCTTCACAGGTGCATCTTCTGTGTCTGTTGTCCCATGGATTCCATCAGAGCAACATCTGCAACGCTGACACGCTTGTGGCGCAGGCTGTCTCGGTCATCCCTTCCAGGTTTTCCCGTGGCCCCACATCCTGCAGCTTGGAGGGGTTGAGGCAGATTGTGAAGTGGTTCCGAGAGGAATTCCCCCTCCAGGCCAAGTCACAGTACTTTGATGGTGATGAGAACAATCCTGGACTGGTATGTAGCCTAGTGTTCCCAGTTCTCACAGGACTTGTGGTATATATGGTACTGGCACATCATGCATTCCTACATATTGATTCTGTATTATCAGCTAGGGCTGGGATGGGTAGACATTTTGGACCACAATAGCTGAAGTAGCATAACCCAAACTGATCTGGGTTCTAGTTAAAGAGTTAATTTCCTTACATACAGGACAGTCATGGTGACTGAAACTTTTAAAAGGTGGCATTTGGTATTATTTTGTTCTGTATTCCACAATTTTGAAAAACAATATGAAACTTGTACAGTGCGGAACTGAGCTTTATAGCTGATGACCCATCCTCTCTGGAAACACTTGGCTTCAAACATGCTTTGTTCAGCATGTTCAATATAACGGCACAAGAGGCCATAGCCCTGCTGATGTGGCTGAACCATTCCTAAAGTAAAACACATATCGAAGATACAACATGCAAGTTCATATGCGATATGTAGCTTAATATAACTGTTGGTGATATTAAAAGAAATAACTTACATCGTTTTCCTGGCACATTAGCAATAGCAAAAATAGTGTGTTTTTTCTAAGGGAGATAACTATGCAAATAATTTCAAGGAATGTTTGTGTACTGTTTTTTGTTGTTTTTGTTTTGTTTTTTTTTTGTTTTTTTTAAATGTAGTCACTAGTCAAGGTGGTGAAGATTTGAAACCAAATGATTATTGAAACATGACATCGGACATCCTGATCCATTATATAAAATTGTGGTCAAAGTTAACCTAAGGATTCATTTGCTACGCCCGTCTATGAATGTGTCCTCGCATTTTCAGATGGAAATATATATCGGAGTTAAAGTTTTGAATGAGATTGGAGAATGACTTAATCATCATGTTTTGTTACCCTAAACAAGTTTTGTCAGACATTTGTATCTCTCAGATTAAAGAAGCTCAGTTAGAAGCAGCCATTTCAACCCGCCAGATCTGTGATGGCCGAGTTCTTGCGACTGTAAGTATTATACCATCTGATTTCTGTTACCGTTTCATGTAATTCTACATCTTCAGTAGTCCATATTCTATATTGTGTGGTCTGTTGTGATTCTAGTAAAAGATTTATCCTGGAACCACTAAACTAAGTGTTCGAGACTTGAAATTTTGGAGAAGGTGTTAATTTGTTGTTGAGATTTTTCCTCAAGTTGTTAGTTTGTTAAAGGCAGAGGTATTTTACCATTTTATTTTACCTTTGTATTTTGCTTTCAATGCAATAATATAGGCTAAATGTTTAAGTCCTGTACTGTTGTTCTGTCCTTTGATGTGTTAGGTACGTTTCCATGATAATTGTCAGTAAGTCAGACAGTCAGACAATAGTCTTCAGTCAGTCAAACAATAGTCTTCAGGCAGTCAAACAATAGTCTTCAGGCAGTCAGACCATGCTTTCTTCCAACCTATCCAGATTTTCATCATTTTCTTGCGGACAATGGGATTTGATGTACGACTGATGATGTCTCTCCAGCCAATGGGATTCAAGGTTATGGAAGAAGATAAGGTAGGTGTCAGACTATTACATATCATTATGATGTTTGATGATGTTGAACATACTAGTCAGGGTTACACCAGATGAAAAATGTGTTTTTACACCAGATTGTTCATGCAGTTTGAGAACATATACCGTATATTACCATAGATAAGTCGATCTAATAGATATGCTGACCCCCTATCTTTTTTGGTCTTCAAAATTTGGCTTATCTACGGTAATGTACGGTACACATAATTTAAAGTTAAACTGAGAGTCTTGTACTAGATGTATCCTGATGGACAAAATTTAGGAAATTATTGTTCCGATCAAAATGTGATTGTAAAAGTAATTGTGAGTTTGTGTGTGATTGGTTGGTTGGATCTTTGTTCGTGTTTCGATATGTAGAACTACATTGTATCATTGCTGTGAGTAGGTGGCTTCTTCGAGGTAATCCTCACTCAACCTTCCTAACCCCTGTCCAAGGGTCAACTCCAGACTAACACATTCTCTGCTTATCCTAAGGTTCAAATCCTGGTTAAGGGGCGGTGGGGTAGTCTAGTGGTTAAAGCATTGGCTCGTCATGTCGAAGACCCGGGTTCGAATCCCCACATGGGTACAATGAGTGAAGCCCATTTCTTGTGTCCCCCGCCGTGATATTGCTGGAATATTGTTTAAAGCGACGTAAAACCAAACTCAGTCAGTCAGTCAAATCCTGGTTAGATTGTCACATGTCACTTTTCAACCTCCCATCGCATTCCTACCTCATCCCTACCTCATCCACAATGTCATGCTTCGGTGGCCAACGGGTGATTGTGTAACTTTGATTGTGTACATTATAAGTTGTTCACTGGTCTTGAGGGGGACATGGGCTGATGTACCCTCGATGTCTATGTTCCCTGAGCCCGAAGGGCAAGGGGAACATAAAGAAACATTGAGGGTACATCAACCCATGGGCCCCGAGGGACCAGTGGACAACGTATTTATCTTACCGAACACCTCAATGATAATTTTGAGCTGTTTGAAGCACAGGTATCGGATCATAGTATGGAGTACCAGACGACAAGAAATGTTTTTTAGAGTTATCTCCCTTCCATCGATTTGCATTTGCAAAACATCGGTAATTTCAATACATCATACGTGATTCAATGTTATTCGAGACAAAGAATTACCACTACACGAAGTACCAAATGAGTTTGGCATTCCCAGCGGGGTACATAGAAAATGTTACTCGCTTGTAAGAGGGGTACATTGAAAATAATAGAAGAGCGCACAGCCAATCAGAAAACGACATTTATGTGTGAGGCAAGATAAAATGTAATAGAGATGCAGTACAGTAGAAAATCAAGAACAATGATTGTCAAGAACAAAAATCCTGAGAAATACCTTTGTCTGCCTTAATAAATCATGGTTTAATTTTGCAGGTGTTGTTGATGTGTAAGTAGTATGAAATTGGCTGTGTATGGATGGTAATACGGAAATGTTTATCTTCAGTTTAAAGTAAAGAAAAATCCAAAACTGAGGACAACCCCACCACTTCAGGAACAACTCAGGATAAAGAAGAAAACGGAGAAAAAGGAAAAACCAGTGTTGGAAATACTAAAAGATCAAAAAACTCAAAAAGTGTTTCTGCTGGACAAAAAATTAAATCTAAATCCAAAGTTATGGCGGACAAAGATTCTAAAACCAAAGCCAAGAATAAAAAAGCTGATAACAAGTCTAAGAAGGGCAAGGCCAGCAAGGGGAAACAACTCTCGAAGAAGAAACTTTCTTCAGAGGACTCTGATTCTGATGGGGAAGAGAAACCCAAGAAGACATTACGGAAAAGAGATGAGAAGAAAACGATGAAAGAAGAAATAGATGGGAATGAGTCTGGGTTTGAAGAAAGTGTTCCTAGTGACTGTGATAGCAGCTTCTCAGAGGAGGAATATACTGTGAAGAAGCAGAAAGGAAAGCGAGGAGGCAAAGGAAAACAGAAAGCAGTGAAGAAGGAGAAGGTGGAGGAAGAGGTCGTTGTACAGAGGTATGGTGGGATTTGTTGATACACTGTGTAGAAAGTTGTCTGATAGGTATTTCTGGTCGGTTTTGTCTGTTGCATTTCAGAAGCACTACAAGCTCGTTCCAAGTCATGATTGAATTTATCTTAAAGACTCCAGGAACTTTTTGTTCCTAACATACTAGTCATCCTTTAAACATGTGATATTTGTAAATGCATTTTGTGCAAAAACCTGAAAGAACTACATGTTTTGTTTTTATTTTTTGTGCATTAACAAACAACCAAGAAAATTTGATAAATGGTGCTTACCAATTATCTGTTATGAGAATTTAACCAATTCCCAACACTACTATGAAGTACAAGGTTCACTTGGTGCTTCAGCTCTGGGAGTGAGTTTATGGAGGAAGAGACATCCTTCCGAAGTCCCCTGAGGGAGAAGTTGAACAAGAGGAAGAATAGGAAGGTTCTGTCTTCTGACTCGGATGGCGAAGGAAGATCTGGAAATAAAGGTAGGTTTCCATATCAATATAGGATTTGGGGAATCTTTCAAGTTAGTGAAGTGGTTTGGTTATCAAAGGTGTGGCAGGTATGAAAGGAAGAAAACATACACCCCTAAACCCATACACCCCTTAACCCATACATCCCTACCCATACACCCCTAACGCCATACACCCCATACATACCCATACACCCCTAACGCCATACATCCCTAAACCCATACACCCCTAACCCATACACTCCTCATGTTCTTACACACATAAACATCTATACACCCAAACACCCTGAGGTAAACATCTGTACACCCAAACACCCTGAGGTCTACGGCCCTAAGGTCATAAACCCATACACCCCTGTGCTTGCACCCTTATCCCCATACAAAACTGAATGTGCCTCTAACTTTCAAATGTCATGATATAACCACTGATGGCGTTTTAGGTTGTGACATCTGGACGGAAGTGTTCCTGCCAAAAGAATCAAGATGGCTGTGTAAGTATTGCAGAAATATCTGCTTACTGGTTGAAACTGAGAAACAGGTTCACTCTAAAACATTACCCTAACCAATCATTTTGTTTGCATGTTGCTTAATGCTGCAATCAGCATTATGTCAGTTTAAACTTTCCCAGTGCTGCAATGTAGCCAAGAGTTGCTTCCCTTAGATGGTCGATCCCACATCAGATGAACCTCCTGTTTATTCAACTACTGTTTTATTTATGTTTCTATAGGGCTTTAAGATTATCAACTGAAAAGGCCTTAAAAGGCCTTAGATTTGCTGGCTGATAATCTATCCGAACCGTGTTATCAAACCAAACTTTCAAAGTGTTTGATGAACACAATTCGGTGTCATGTATGACTTGTATAATTTTAACAATGCCCTGTAACTTCAGTTATACAGAGAATGTATCGAACACACTGTATAGTAAAGAGTTACCTGCTGTTTTTGAATGAGTTGATTTTCAATTCATTTACCTTCATTCTCTTCATCCAGGTGTTGACTGTGTGCACAATATTATAGACAAGCCATATGAGATAGAATCCAAGCTGGTCCAACCAGTTCACTATGTGATCGCCTTCAGTGCAGGTGAGCAGACGGTCATATCGTGCTACAGAAGTTTTTTTGTTTGTTTATTGTTGTAAAACGTTACACAGAGCAATATTCCAGCATATGGCAACGGTCAGTATATAATCGAGTCTGGACCAGACATTCCAATGATCAACAGCATGAGGATGGATCTACGCAATTAGAATATGATGATAAAAATGTGTCAACCAAGTCAGCAAGTCTGACCACCCGATCCCGTTAGTCGCCTCTTACGACAGGCATGAGTTGCTGAAGACCAATTCTAACCTGAGTTTACCAGAATTCTGAGTTTTAAAGAATAGTGAAACTTCAAACACATTGGGACTTTATGCCATGGACCATGGGAGTTTTCAATCTTTGTTTGTGAAACTTGTTTCATGGTATACACCTTGTTTTAGCATACAATCTTTGTTAATAAACACTCTGTAAGGTATCAACATTGGTATCTTCAATGGCAGAGAATTTGGACATTTAAGAGCACGTATAAGGTTTGATTGATAAGGATAAGGCTAGAGGCATTGTGGAAGAACACTTTGTCTGCTTATTACGATCTGACCATGATGTATGAACTGTCGGCCATACACATATCTAGATAATTTGACTCTGTGTGGGATGTTGACATTTTATAGTTTGTCGCATTTCACTGAACTGGGCTGAAAATGCAGTTTTGAATTCTTACTGTATATCAGGCCTGTATATGTATTCTTGTGGTAGGTGGGTACCTCCGAGACGTGACTGCCAGGTATGCCTCTCAGTGGATGTCACACACACGTAAACTGAGAGTCGATCCAAGAGTGGTGGGATGAAACTCTGGAGATCTACAAGAACCCAGCTCCTGAGCATGGGGATAATGATGAAGATGATATAAGAGGTAGGAAGATGTGACTGATATCCAGGAGATATTTCTTCAGCTGAATTTCTTTGTGTGCACCACCTGTAGTATATTCTGACCCTTTGCATATTAGACACAGAGGTACAGATAAGCTGTGTATCTGCGTAAATTACGCAAATATTTATGTGAAAACTCAATTCCTATTAAGACTATTGTGTACAAGTACTCATAAATGTTTGTAAATACTCAATAGATATGATCTTACATGTGTACACGTAAAAAAATGATCAAATAACTGAGATATATTGAGAAAGATATTGCAGTCTTCCTTATCATTTCTCATATTACAGATCAAATAGAAATAACAAACACGTAAACCAACATTTAAGCTTTATTATATTTTTACAAGTAATGGAAAATGGCAAAATACTCAATTGAGTTTGAGTGAGGTGGGTACAATTTGTTTGGTTACTCAAAGGAAAACTAAAATACCCAATTGAGATGAACACAAGTGAGTACATAACTCAATGACCCAAAAGTTATCTGTAGCTCTTGGTGCATGCGATTTACACTTCTCGAAGTGGAAGTGGGCTCTTCCAGATGTTCGATTTGCACGCTTATCTTCTCAGAAGTACTTCCCGCTCTTCTCATTCACGAGCAGAAGAGCGTGATCTTCGGCTGTTCGATATAAAACCCAGAAGACTCCTCTTCCTGAACAGGTTTCTCTTCCGAGAAGACGGACCACCTCCGTGGTGTAGTGGTTAGAGCGTCTGCCCAGAGAGAGGAAGGTCGCGGGTTCGATCCCCGACTGCGTCATACCAAAAGACGTTAAAATATGGTACTTGTTGGTCCCTGCCTGGCGCTCGGCATTAATGGGTACAACAAGGACTGGTCGGCTCGGAGTCAGTATAATGTGTCTGAGTGGGGTATTCATGCTTCACTGTGGCATGGTATCTCAGTGGGCTAGCACTATAAAACCAGCTTCAGTCTGGGCTAGTACAAGCAGCTGCACATACACATACACACGCACGCACGTCGTCATATGAGCGAAATATTCTCAAGCACGATGTTAAACCCAATTTCACCTCACCTCACCTCCGAGAAGACGTATAATTGCATGCACCTCCTGAGACACTAACCATTTCATTCTCCCCATAACATGTTTGATGCCTGTAAGTGTGCTGTAATACAGGGCTTTGTCTCTACTTCCAGCCCAGCTCATGAAGAGACCCCTGCCAACAAGCGTCGGCCAGTTCAAGAATCATCCACTGTAAGCATGAGACAGCAACACTCAAACTGTTATTCCTCTCAATATTGTTGTAATTTAAACCTATCTAGTATCACCAGCAGGGATTTTGTTTAAGATTCCAAAGTTAGCACCATTTGCATGCAAGTTCAGATAAGATTATTATTCAGTGAGTGAGGGAGTGAGTTTAGTTTTACGCCGCACTCAGCAATATTCCAGGAATGTGGCGGCGGTCTGTAAATAATCGAGTCTGGACCAATCCAGTGATCAACAGCATGAGCATCAATCTGCGCAATTGGGACCGATGACATGTCAACCAAGTCAGCGAGCCTGACCACCCGATCCCATTGGTGCCTCTTACGACAAGCATGGGTTACTGAAGGCCAATATTCTAATCCGGACCTTCACGAGTGATTATTATTCAGTTGCTACTACGTTGACATAAATATGGAAGGATAAAATTTTCAATTTGCTAATTTTATTGATATTTGCTGCAGACTTTTGACCAAATATGTGTCTCTGGGCAGATTTCGATAAATCCCTGACAAGCTATCAATGTAGAAATCTTTCACTTTCATAACCAGAATCAAATATCTATCAAAATTAATGTGACAAATGTTTCATTTGCAAATTCTGCTATTTTTGGGGTTGAGTCTGATCCAGGTCGTGCATTTTATGGTTCATCTTGAGAAGCCTTGAAAAAAGTCAAAAAGCCTTGAAAAGCCTTGAATTTGTACAAAATCACAAATATTTCTTTAGCAAAGTATTAAATTCATGACTAATCTTACTTGTCGTACTAGCTATGAAAGTCTTGCTAAAGAAATTGTGAGGTTCGCCTCCCTTTTAGATCTTATAGAATGCTGTATTACAAATTTATTCTAGAGACCCAAGCTAATAATCCGACTGAAAGTGTCAAGATAGTATCAGTTGACAACCTTGAGAAGGCTCTGAATTTTAGTGTTTTATATCTATATGAAGCTTGGAACAGATATAAATAACTAGTTTGAAATTTGAGAAGCTCGCTCTAATACTATATGCCACTGTCTCATGTCCCATCAGGTATGCACTGTCTCGCCATCTGCTGAAGTACGAGGCCATCTTCCCAGAGTCCTCTATCCCCCTCGGTTACATCCGGGGTGAACCTATCTACGCCAGAGAGTGTGTACACACTGTAAGTATCACTGGTGTTCTAGATTCTTGGGAGGAGAGGAGGAATTTAGCTGGGTTACCAAGCAGTGAACCCTTGGTAGGCAAACTGGAGAAATTGCTTTTTTTGGTGTAAATTCTAATTCAACATTGCAGAGATGAAATATTAAATATTAAAATCCCTTCTAATTTATTGGACCTGTTACACGGTGTAAGATACAAATCACCCCTGTTTAAAAGGATTATAGCTATGACAGTGACAGATTAATTTGGGGATATTGTTTTTTGAGTTTGGAATTATTTACTGACAATGCAGTCTTTGTGTCAAGTCAAGGTAAATGAAGCTGACCCAGTGATCAAAGTTAGCTCTGCAGAGTTGTTTCCCTTTGCTGACAGGATCTGAACACTGATTGGCCCCAGTATGATTCATTGTGTGTGTGACCAGATCTGTTGTTGTATTTTGATATCCACAGTCTGAATCAGTTAAGGCTGCCTGGTCATGAAACAACTCCAGGAATTAATGTTTTCTGACACATTTTGGGAAGGAGTGTGTCGGAAAAAACTACTGAGATGCAAAAAAAATTCATTTGATGTTATCAGTGCGGGATGGTTCAAACCATCATTAAATAGTTATTGTAAACATTTTATACAGATATGCATTAGTCAGTTTTGTGGTGGTACTCTGTAAGTGACGCTGTTTGGGTGTTGGGTTGAATTTGTTCATCAGCATCCCATTCCAGGATTGGGTGATAGATTATATTGCCATGGCTGATTCCATGTCAGCATGCCTTGGTGGGATGGATTGGTGCTCACGATATCACTCACTGGATTATCTGGCCAAGATTCCATCATATAGCTGGAATATTCCTGAGTGCAGTAATTAACAACAAACAAATCTAAGAGTTGATCTGTCTTGTTTTCACAGCTCCATTCCCGAGAGAACTGGCTGAGAGAAGGGAGAGCGGTCCGGGTAAGAATGTTGTAATTGGTCAATTTAAATCTGCATGTAACTCATGAAGATCCGCTTTAGAATTGGTCATCAGTAACCCATGCTTGTCGTAAGAGGTGACCAACGGGATCAGGTGGTCAGGCTCACTGTCTTGGTTGACACATGTCATCGTATCCCAGTTGTGTATATCGATGCTCAATGGATTGTCTGGTCCAGATTGTATTATTTACATACCACCCACCGCCTTATGGCTGGAATAGAGCTGAGTGCAGTGTTAAACAACACCAACCAAATCTGCATGTCAGTCACCTTCAATCTGATTTTGAAAAATGTGATTTCCTGCATTGCATAATCATGTATTCTTGAACATGCTCCGTAAGTCGGGTCTTGTTTTATGAAATGGCCTCAGATCACATTTATTTCGCATCTGTGCTATCTAAATTGACGACACATGTAGACTGATTTCAAACCTTTCTGGCAATAAATATTAAGTTCGGAGTCAATATCAAACAAAATAGAGCAAATCAAATATTTGTCCCATCCTCACCTTGTCAGAATAAATATTTTGTTCTTTATTATCTACAGTGACAGAACCGTTTGCAGTAATTAATATTGGTCCTGGGCTGTACAGTAACTGCGTGCTGACTAAGGGACCATTCATATATATATGGCTAGGGGTGGGGGTGATGATGATTTTATGGAGAAGCATGTAAAATGTGAATGACAAACACCCCCACCCCCACCCCCATGTCATGTACAAAATCAATGACCTCCTCCCTCTTCCCATGTTTTTAAAGCATAATTTTTAAATAGTTTTATGTACAAAATTGATGACCCCCTAGAAACGTGTACAAAATTGATGACCCCTAGAAACGTGTACAAAATTGATGACCCCCTACCTCCCCAGATTTTAAACCAGGTTCTATATTCTGTGTTGGTTTTGGCCATGGGAGTGAGTGAGTTTAGTTTTCGCCGCACTCAGCAATATTCCAGCTATATGGTGGCGGGCTGTAAATAATCGAGTCTGGACCAGACAATCCAGTGATCAACAGCATGAGCATCGATCTGCGCAATTGGGAACCGATGACATGTTGCAACCAAGTCAGCGAGCGTGACCAACCGATCCCGTTAGTTGCCTCTTACGACAAGCATGGGTGACTGAGGGCCAATATTCTAACCCAGACCGTCTTTTGGCCATGGAAAAACTAAGGCTGGGTAACTGTGGTCTGAGGCCTATCAGGACACATAACAGTATATAACTGAACTAAAACTGAAAGGCATTGACTTTCACTAAAATGGCATTAAAAAGGCATTATTTTACACCACACTTCTCTCTAAAAATATCAAATGCATTTCTTTCAATAATACTAATTATCAGTCCTCAGGGAAGCTACCATATAATTTATTCCAAAAGCATTACATACTTAGATTACAATATTAAATTAAAAAGTTCGAATTAATTACTGCTAGAGGTGTGACGATATAGAAATTTGAGATTTGATGCATATCATGATATGCTATCTGAAGTTATTTTCTTTAAAAACATTTTGATTGCAAGTAACAGTGTAAATTTTGACATAACCGTCAATTTCTAGTGAAAATTATCAATTTTAAGGTCAGCGATACATATGATACGAAAGAAGGTATCGATATATTTTGCGTCAGATAAAGTATCACGATTATCGATACTATGATATATCGTCACAGCTCATATTACTGCAATGTCACATTAAATCGACTCTCATGCCCTCTACCGGCCGAAAATTATTTCAAGCGAACCCCATTGAGTTGTGTCCCTTGGAGTGCTCTTTACGAATATCCTATAACTCACTTGGAGACAGAACTCAGTCCTAAACAAAATGAAGTCGGGTACAAAAACATATGCGCAAATTGTGACTGAAACCATTTATTCAAACAATGTAAACACCATGTGCGACAGTTTTCGATGTACAGATCAATTGTTTACATTCCATATATGACAAGTGTTCTCTGTTTGGAAGCTGTTTGCCTCCGAAGTTTCAATTATCAATATCAGGCAAATCTTAAAGGATGATAAGTCTTTTATTGCATCAACAGGAAGCTAAAGTGAGTGCATATGCCCCAATATAATATAGGCCAAATTATTGTCAAAAATGTGTGAAATTGTGCCTTAAATCAATATTAAGCCAATACACTGTTCAAGGCTCCGAGAAAAACTGGAACCCTCGTTCATACTCAACTTCACATCGTGCTAAACATGTAGCATGTGAGTGTACATTTACATCAATTCATTTCATGTACATCATCCTTTGTCCGTAATCAAATATACTATCCAGGGATTTACAGGATGGGAATTCCTGCATCCTATGCGAATAAAAATTGACAATGGATGCAACAAAATTTATTAGCGCGTCCACTGGGACTCAGAAAAAGTCCAATATTTTTTTTAAAAAATCAAATCAAGTGACAATAAGTTATCACTGAGTTTGCTACTAGCTGGGTTATGGTATTATTTGCAATTAAATTACTGTAACAATGTGATGATCATGATACACAATACAATAACAGTATTAATAATAATATTTAAGTGTCTGGGACCCCATTTTGTTGTCCAGGACCCCTGAAAATTAAGAGTATGAGTCCCAGGGACCCTCAACTACAGGACTCCGTGTAAATCCCTGACTATCAAGAGGCACAAATTTCAGTCTGGTGAACCAGTTCTGTAATTTCTTTCCTATCTTGGATTATGTTCATGCCATTGTTAAGAATGCAATTAAAGTTTATGATTAGCAACAAAATAAGATCTGAATCTGTAGAAGTGCCTCTCCACCCCAGATACCCACGACTAGGATGAGTGATGAAGAGACCCCTCTGTTTGCCATGGCGAGGATGGATGGCACTGGGATTGCTGCTCCTTACTGTAACAGCATTTCCATCTCTGTTCCGCTTCAACAAACCAGTGCACCCAGCGAACAAAGCCCGAAACAAGATTCAAGAAAAGATGATTTGAAGGGTATGGATTTAGTTGACAAAGAAATGACTGGAGGATGGAAGAAAGCTCTGCAACTGCTTCAATCAGAATCCACTGACAGCGGCGCGCCCGAGCAGCAGACAGGCAGAAAGAGAAAATGGAGAGCATGCTGGAAAATAACACTAAAGTGTGTTGTGTGTGACCTTGTGGCACCTGAAATGAAGTTATACAAAGAAATCGAGACATGCAAGCCTGGACCAAACCAAGCACCACCTAACACTGACCTCTTGACTCTTCAGAGCACACATATTGGAAATACTAGAGCGAGGTTACTGATGGCAAATATGGACATTAAAGCCCTGTGTTGGAGCAGCAGGCAAAGGACTTTGTAAATAATCGAGTCAGACAATCCAGTGATCAACAGCATGAGTATCAATCTGCGCAATTGGGAAACGATGACGTGTCAACCAAGCCAGCGAGCCTGACCACCCGATCCCGTTAATCGTCGTCCATTCTAACCCGGACCTTCACGGGTTGGAAATAAATGAAAGCAGGATGAATGATGCCATGGAAGGCCAGGATAACATCTCGAAAACAACAAGCAGATGTAGACTGAGGAGAATGTATCACTAGCAGTTGGCATCACCTGGGAAACAGACATTGACTGACAAGGAGTTCATCATCAGAGTGTCATTCCAGAATATACTGATGGATGTGAAAATTCAAAGAGGGGGCGACACAGACTATTCTGCAAACATAACCTTACCCTCATTCTCTGAGTTTGAGAACTGGACATTGGAAATCTGCTGATTTCAGGATGTGTTTGTTCCAAGTGTGCTGATAAAGTTTGTTGCTACCAAAGAGGATTAAGTCTACAGGTGTGTACAAGAATCTGAAATGTTTTACCCCACTTAGCTCAGGGACAGTTTCATCAATGAAGTTTTGGTAGTTATGACAGTGATTTCAACCCAGATGTGTTCCCTGGCCAGTACTCATTAACTAGTGACAAGGAAAGTGCCGGTGCAGCCAGACGCTAACAGAACTCATGAAGGAAGATGCAGGCAACAAAATTACACATTTCAGTTGGATGACAATAATCAACTTTGAAGGAAATTCTCGCGGTGATCACACCGAAGACCCAAGTTCGATTCCCCACATGGGTACAATGTGTGAAGCCCATTTCTGGTGTCCCTCACCGTGATGTTGCTGGAATATTCTAAAAGCGGCGTAAAACCAAACTTGTTCACTCACTCTCGGTGAAGCTGAGTGTGAATTTTGTCTAACAAATGAAACTGCATGCTGAAGTGAGAAGACCAGTGAGTATTCCTTTGTCAAATAACATGAACTCTTCACAAAACATGAGCTTTGACTATTCATAGGTTCAACAACGTCCCATCAACAAACAATAAATACCCAGATTCTCACGTTGAAGGACTGGTATAGGGTCAAACAGTGTGGTCACTTTAACAAGTGGACAAGGAGGTTGACCATCACAGGGAAAACCAGAAATGACATGATGTGAAAAGACAACTTTGTGCAATGTACCAAAGATTTGGGAACAAAGTAAAAAACATAATTTTAAAAGTGCATGTGTCCATGTTTCACCATTGACGTTCATATTGCAATATATTAATGCATGCATTATATATGTACTAATTACTGTTTTTTGTTGTTGTGAACATCTCCTATTTCTCCAAGGCTTGCATTTTAAACCTGCTCTTGATTTTCATTTAACGTTTGTAACCCTTAAAATGTTGACGTAAGGTAAAAGGACATGGGCGAAAGAGGTAACATTAAGACATTATAAATATATTTGAGGGCTTTCTTCTGCATGTAAGTCCGAATTCAGCATTGAATTTCTTGCAAACGATCTCTATTAATAGGACTGGCGGTCATATCCCCACATTGTGGCTGGTTTGAAAAAACATTCTTATTGGTCCATCAGATGGAGCTGTGGAGCCAATCAAACTGACTAATGAAAATCAAGAGCAGGTAATTTACATTTGTAGAATAACAAGAGTGGATCCAGGGGTTTGTGCTGATTTACTGAAATGTGAGCCCTGGAAATATACGAGGTGTACTGTTAGCTGAAATACAGAACCAAGTTATATTCAAGCTGTCATTTGTATGCATGCAGTGTTACAGTCAGCTGTTACTGTAATGGATATCAGCAAATAAATAAAACATTTAATCATACGCAATCAGTTTGCCTTTGTTGTTGCCAGTGGTAGACATTTTATAAACAGTCAAGATCAGTGAAGATCAAAGGTGCAATAGTACATGAGCATCAAATTTGATTTCATGGGGCACTGGGGTAACTTAGTGGTTAAAGCGTTTGCTTGTCACGCCGAAGACCCTGGTTCAATTCCCCACATGGGTACAATGTGTGAAGCCCTATTCTGGTGTCCTTGGCCATGATATTGCTGGAATATTGCTAATATATGATGCTGGGGTGGTGGGGTACTTTATTGGTTAAAGTAATAACACAAAATGCCCAAGGCCTGGGATCAATTCCCCACATGGGTACAATGTGTGAAGCCCATTCCTGGTGTCCCCTGCCGAGATGTTGCTGGAATATTGCTAAAATCAATAGTGAAGGTATTAAAAGGCACAAACTCAACTCACTAGTATGGTGCTTGCACTCACCCATTACAACATGCATAAAATATACCGTTCAAGAATAGAAAGTCATTTCAAATAAAACAATATTTCAAGCTGAAAACACATGTTAGCAGATTTCAGACCTCTCTGCTGATAAATACGTAAGGTTTCCGAATCTTCAAATATAATAGAAGTCACACGCTTTCATTTTCACAAAAATCCACTGTAAGGCGAATATGATACATATCATAAATATTGAGGGCGGTGGGGTAGCCTAGTGGTTAAAGCGTTGGCTCGTCACGCCGATGACCTGGGTTCGAATCCACACAAGGGTACAATGTGTGAAGCCCATTTCTGGTGTTCCCCACCGTAATGTTGCTGGAATATTGTTAAAAGCGGCGTAAAACCAAACTCAGTCAGTCAGTCAGTCATAAATATTGGGTAATGAATACAAATATTGTGAAGAAATATTATAAAAAGTAAGCAGCTGAAGTATAATTCATGATATTTAGTGAAACAATAACAAACAAAATTCTGTGACATGATTGATCATGTTCACAGTGTTTCTATATCACAAGAATGACCATTATCTACGTTATTGTCCAATCAAATATATCATTGCATTGATTATTATCCTGTCTGGCTTGGATATTCCATTTTGCATATTCCACTGAATTGCTGTGGTCAATAACACCAGCTTCAAGTAAAAACACACCATTTTAGAAAAGTCATGAAACTTTGATTCCAATCATCATGAACAAGTTGAATTCATGAAAGTTTATGGCTTGATTTACCAAACAATGCAAGTGAGTTGTAACTTCCCTAATCGGAGCAACCGCCTCCGTGGTGTAGTGGTTAGAGCGTCCGCCCGGAGAGTGGAAGGTCGCGGGTTCGATCCCCGACTGCGTCATACCAAAAGACGTTAAAATATGGTACTTGTTAGTCCCTGCCTGGCGCTCAGCATTAATGGGTACAACAAGGACTGGTCGGCTCGGAGTCAGTATAATGTGTCTGAGTGGGGTATTCATGCTTCACTGCGGCATGGTATCTCAGTGGGCTAGCACTATAAATCCAGCTTAAGTCTGGACTAGTACAAGCAGCCGCACATACACATACACACGCATGCACGTCGTCATATGACCGAAATATTCTCAAGTACGACGTAAAACCCAATTTCACCTCACCACACCTAATCGGCGCAGTTCATAATGATTACTATCAGTCAAGGCGGTTCATTGTGTACATGTTGAGCAGCCCACCTCCAATACCTTAAACTGCAAAACATCTGCCGTGATCCCCCATCTAGATTTCACAGCAACCACCTTCAACAATGGTAACTGAAACACACATCAGCCTTGAACTTGGGGTCAAATCATGGGAAGCTGGAGTCGGTACCATGTGCACATTGTGGATTCGCAACAAAATACAAGGATACAATACAGAATACAATCCTGGGTCTAGATTTTCAAAATGTTCAAAGCCCTACGAACTTCGTAAACCCATTCTTAACACATTGGTTACAATCAAAATTAAGAATTCTTAGGGCTACAAACGTTTCGAGAATGTAGGCACTGTCTTCCATTTATGCCATCACTTGTCACTCCAACATATTTGGCACAGGCTGAATATCCTTCTTGAACAGGGCACTATATGTATTCTACTATTTCCTCCGGGGCATGTTAATCCTTAGGTTGGGAAAGTGTGCACTGAGGCCAGTTACGGGAAGTGATGAATGCTTGTTGATGCCATGAGATAAATTGATGATGTGCTATAATTACATGTCAGTAATGTTTCAGTCATGCCAAACATCAAAATTCTTACAAAACGGACTCTGACTTGCCTTTCTGTTGAAAAGAAAAACGACCTCTGGTTTATTTTGTTGTCAAAAATATGTTTTGAAAAAATCTGAAAAATCCAGGGCCTTGATTTTCGAAGCTCTCTTTGCGCTAAGATAGTCGTAAGTTAATGTTAATGTATGGCACTTACGACTATCTTAGCGCGTTAAGAGAGCTTTGAAAATCTAAGCCCAGTACTCTAACCTTGTGCGTCACATACTGGAGACCCAGGTTCGATTCCCCACATGGGTACAATGTGTGAAGAATATTTTTGGTGTATCCTGCAATGATATTGCTGGAATATTGCTAAAAGTGGCGTAAAACCCAACTCACTCACTGTTAAGTGATGAAAACACACTTCTACTCTGCAACAAACTTACGTTTATCACAAATATAATTGTTTGGGGATTTTTTGGTTGTGAAATGACATGATCATGATATGTTTTATAAAGAAGGGTGGGCCGTTTCGAGACATAACTCAAGAACCGTTCAATATTTTTCAACAAAACTTGGTAGATATATCAAACAGATCCTTAAAGTGGTGCCTTTTGCTATTTACAGATGTTTGGCATTTTTATTTTCCGGTTTCCATGGAAGCGATTCAGACTTAGTCCCAAAAGTGAGGGTGGGCCGTTTCGGGCATAACTCAAGAACCGTTCAATATTTTTCAACAAAACTTAGTAGATATATCAAACAGATCCTAAAGTGGTGCCTTTTGCTATTTGCAGATTTTTGGCATTTTTTTTTTTCCTGGTTTCCATGGAAACATTTTGGACTTAGTCTCAAAAGTAAGGATTGCTTTCGTTTCAGACATAACTCAAGAACCGTTTGATATTTTTCAACAAAACTTGGTAGATATATCAAACAGATCCTAAAGTGGTGCCTTTTGCTATTTGCCGATTTTTGGCATTTTATTTTCCTGGTTTCCATGGAAACGATTCAGACTTAGTCCCAAAAAGTGAGGGGTGGAAGCCGTTTCGGACACAACTTCGAAAACTTCTCTATATCTTTCAGCAAAACTTGGCAGATATGTGAGAGGGCAGATCTTGAAGTGGTGCCTTTTGCTATTTGCAGATATTTGTGATTTATTATTTTCTCTGTTTCCACGGAAATGATTCAGACTTATTCTCAAAGGAAGGGTGGGTTTAGTTTCGGGCATAACTCAAGAACCGTTAAATATTTTTCAACAAGACTTGGTAGATATATCAATCAGATCCTAAAAAGTGGTGCCTTTTGCTATTTGCAGATTTTTGGCATTTTACTTTTCCCGGTTTCCATGGAAACGATTGGACTTAGTCTCAAAGTGAGGGGGTGGGCCGTTTCGGAGCATAACTCAAGAACCGTTCAATATTTTTCAACAGAACTTGGTAGATGTATGAAACAGAACCTTAAGTGGTGCCTTTTGCTATTTGCCGATTTTTGGCATTTTTATTTTCCTGGTTTCCATGGAAACATTTTGGACTTAGTCTCAAAAAGTAATCATTGCTTTCGTTTCAGACACAACTCAAAAACCATTATAATATTTTCAACAAAACTTGGTAGATATATCAATCAGATCCTAAAGTGGTGCCTTTTGCTATTTGCAGATATTTGTGATTTATTATTTTCTCAGTTTCCATGGAAACAATTTGGACTTAGTCTCAAAAGGGAGGGGTAGGTTTTGTTTCGAGACACAAGCGAAAACTTCTTAATATCTTTCAGCAAAACTTAGCAGATATGTAGGAGGCAGATCCTAAAGTGGTGCCTTTTGCTATTTGCAGATTTTTGTCATTTATTTTTTCATGATTTCCATGGAAGCGATTTGCACTTAGTCTAAAATCAAGCTAGACTTTAAGTAACTGTCAGATGATTTGTTCTTTCAAAGATGTGGGGGCGGGGATATGTCATCTTCTGATGACTCTTGTTTATAAATGTAATTCCTAAATGATAAAGTGTAGTTGGATGAATAACTACCAGTGGAAATTCATAATTATTTGAATTTCAAAAAAATATTTTTAGAAAAAGTTTTCATTACTCATTTCCTTGTTCTATTTCAGCTGGGTGAAAGTACATATAAAAATGTGAAATCAAGGAAGAGATGGGTGAGTGATATATATATTATAAAAGAAGTTAACGCATGATCACTAATATCACTGTTTACTGAATATTGATGTGAGATTTTTTTGCTTCAGTCTACCCCTTCACTTCAAATGGCTTTAGGGCGGTTGGTAGCCTAAAGCGTTATTTCGTCCACGCTGAAGACCCGGTTGAATTCACATGGGTACAATGTGTGAAGCCCATTTCTGGTGTGCCCGCCCGTGATGTTGCAATATTGCTAAAAGTAAAACCACAACTCAGTCAGTCAGTCAGTCAAATCACTTTAAAAACTGGCCTTATACATGGCAGTAAATATATACTTCCCATCAAAAGTTTAGACTCACTAGTGTAAATATAGCCACTTACTTCAGGCAACTGTTCTAAACTAGATTTTGCTATATATTCCATACTGTTTAAAGGTACTGTTAACACATGAACAAATTCGAAACGTTGAAAAGATTATTGTCATGAGTTCAAGAAATGATAAAAATCAGTAAAATATGGCGAATTCTTTACGAAACTTTATACCAAAACGCAGCTGTTCACATGCACAATATTTGCACACGCTTTTCAGTAATATAATGCATGATCCTCATGCAATTCATCTGCATAAGGTTTGCAGTTGGTTCCCCCAAGTTAGTGGAGAAATCTATCTTCGATGCAATCGATACATATATACATAACATATGGTAAGTGTTTTGAAGTGAGTCTAAACTTTTGATGGGAATTATATTAATCCATCATGAATTAAACAGATTATTTTTAGTAATATGAAAGTACCTTTATGGATCCGGCTTAGAATTGGTGTTGAGCAAGCTATGCTTACGGCTAACCGGATTGGGTGGTCAGGCTCGCATGTCATTAAATTCCATTTGCATAGATCAATGTTCATGCTGTTGATCACTGGATTTACAGAGCGCCACCATACGACTAGAATATTGCTGAATGCAGCTTTAAACAACAAACAAAAACTCAGTGTTATTCTCTCTCACCCGCCCACTGACACTTATCAAGAACCCAGTCACTGTCAGAAGTTCACTCTCTCTCACCTTCACATTCTGTGTCCCAATTGAGCAGATCGATGCTCATGCTGTTGATCACTGGATTGTCTGATCCAGACTCCATTATTTAAAGACCGCCGCCATATAGCTGGAATATTGCTGAGTGCGGCGTAAAACTAAAGGACTGTCGGAAATGCTAGAAAAATGCTTTTTAGCCTTAATATCTTTATAAAGGTGATAAATGTACTATGTTGTCAATATATCAACTCGCCTATTGTCTACCTAATTTTTATTTCAATCGATTTAACAAACCAACTTGCATTTTAAAGGGCAGTTTACTGATATAGAGAATTTGGTAATAATACAGTTGGTGTAAAAATATGAATTAACGTTTTCCTAAACAAATAAATATTCAATGTTTGTGTTACTTTACTTAATTATCGTTTCTTTATTGAAGAAATATTATTATAAATGTTAAGTCTTGATAAATAAGTTTCCGTCATGCATGTACATCTTTATCACACAGCGTCCACTATGGCCAAGCGATTTGTAGTCGATTGTTGCAAAGGTTTATAGTTTTTTTCTGCTTAAAAAGACAGAGGTAAACCTTTCATTAGTTTAGAAAGGGTTTATTACAGAACTTGTAGAGCTGTAGGTATGTCTTACCAACAAGTTTACAATATTGTAAACAAATCAGACAAGACAGGGACCGTCTCAAATGCAAAACCGGGACGATAAAACCATCCTTGACAACTTTGACAAGGGAGTGCTTAGGCGAGGCGGTCTACAAACTTTATGAGAAGAAAAATATACATATTCTAAAGAAGCTACACCAGTGACTTCGTTAAATCTTTGGCCAATGTTCACAACTAGATTAAACTGACCGAATTACATCCATATGTTTTCAATGAAATATACTGTTGACATGCAAAACATTTATTAAAAGCGTTGCACATTTCTACAATCAATCGATAAGATAACACAAGTGATTGGACTCTTTCCAATGTACAGTAATTCGTATGTTTATTTCAAAACAAACACACATACACAAATGATCCCTTACATAACCCGATCGTATACTATAATGCACACATATTCAACATTTTGCAGAAACATCTATTGAGATGACCCGCTTGAGCGCGTGCTCAGGTGTCAATTTCACCTGTCGATACCGTGGATGCTGATGACGTAACACAGGCAATTAATGTTTATATCAAATAACGTCCCACTACCCCTTATGTTTGGTATTTTCATCTGTAAAAACACATTTTAGGGCATGTCTCACAATTTATTCTCTCGGTCTACATTAGGTAGATGTTTCTTGAAGTGATATTTGTTATTTAAGTAACTGTAATACCTCTGAATTTTAAATATAAGTCAAAAAGCATTTTTCTAGCATTTCCGACAGTACTTTAACCTCACTCACTCACTTTACATTTTATGCCATTCACTCACTACCTCACTGGTTGGCCTTGCAGCTCTTGGTGTCCCATCTAGTAATGTATTTGCTCTCTCCCTTCTCACTCCACTCCACTCCACTGCGCTCTGCTCCAATCCACTCCGTTCCGCTCCACTCCTATCCACAAAGCCTGAACCTACCCCACCCTACACCCTCTTGTCACTAGTACTGAGCCACTGTCACTATCAGTCCCTCATTCTTCCAGTAACTCCACCAACATTTCCCTCTCCATCTTGAATCTCTCCTTCATCACTCCAGTTGTTCGATACATTTCCCTCTCCATCTTGAATCTCTCCCTTCACTCACCATACTCCAGTTGTTCCGATACATTTTCCCTCTTCTCCATCTTGAATCCCTCCTTCACTCACCATACTCCAATTGATCCGATACATTTCTCTCTCTCCATCTTGAATCCCTCCTTCACACCATACTACCCAGTTGTTGTTCCGATACATTTTCCTCTCCATCTTGAATACCTTGAACTCACCATACTCCCTCATTTTCCCTCTCCATCTTGAATCCCTCCTTCACTTACCATACTCCAGTTGTTCCGATACATTTTCCCCTCCATCTTGAATCCCTCCTTCACTTACCATACTCCAGTTGTGTCGATACATTTTCCCTCTCCATCCTCTTTACTCTATTTTGTGCTGCTTATGTGATGTTCACACTGTCATGTCTTTTTCAGAAACAGAAACTTCTTAATCCAGATCCTGATGCCCTTGACCTTGAGCTGTTTGGACTTTGGCAGACGGAGATCTACATCCCGCCTCCTGCTGTTGATGTAGGTTCTCAAACCATCAGATAATAACTTTTCTCCAAGTTGATTTGATTTCAGCATAAACACATTTTCCTGGTTTAGTTTGTAGGATCTAATCTGCACTTTTTTCTGTATCAGTATGTTCTGTTCTTGCAGGGCAAGATTCAGCGGAATGAGTATGGGAACGTTGAGCTGTTCAAGCCGTGGATGTTGCCGGGGGGAACCGTGCACCTGCAAGGTAATTGTCTTCATCACTGTATTTCCTGGACAACGTGGGAGGGTTCATTTGCAGGAAGGTGACTTGTTAGTTTTAGCTTTTCGCCTGAAGGCGAAACACAGTACCCTTTCATGTTTAGTGTTATTACAGTAATGTTTATGTAAGGTCTTACCGGGGGGCGGTGGGGTAGCCTAGTGGTTAAAGCGTTGGCTCGTCACGCCGAAGACCCGGGTTCGAATCCCCACATGGGTACAATGTGTGAAGCCCATTTCTGGTGTCCCCGGCCGTGCTGTTGCTGGAATATTGCTAAAAGCGGCGTAAAACCAAACTCAGTCAGTCAGTCTTACCGGGACATTAACAGGGGATTTGCGTAAGGGTGGTGACTAAATTTGTACTAATTTCTACGTGAACACAGTTCATGGGTCGTTCATGCTGACACTGATTTCGTGAACAGTTTTTGCCGAACTGTTATTTACAACTGATTGGTCATAAGAATTATGAGTTCGTATCAATCGCATAAAACAACGTCAACAGTTTTGTCAATGTCAACGGTACAAGGGTAATCGTTACTTTCGATTTCTGAGACATGGTGAACGCAAAGCTACAGTACAAGAATCAAGAACAAACAACAACTTTGAAGGTTGGCATGGGCGCTTGACGAAGTTGTTGGCAAGGAAATTAAATCAGCACGTTAGATGATACTTTGTACATATTTTAATGATTAAGAAGGATATATGAATGTCGCCTTCCTCTGGGATTAGGGTTCTTGTGTAAACATCTGAACCCATTGTTGCAAATGTCCACCCTTTTCGCACGAAGGCGGAAACGAAAAAGGGCCCATGTTTTTATACGCCCCAAAAAGTTGCCTTCCTTCGAAGACACCCATGGGAGACATATAGTCTCTAAAATGAACATATTTTACAGTACAAAATGGTTAAGACTTTCTTCATTCGGAATCTGTGGTAATCTAGACTTGCATGGGCTGCATTGGCTATATTTGTTTGAGCGCAGTGTGCAAAATAGCCACTAGTTCGTGGCTAGTAAAAATCCAGTCGGGCCAGTAAATCTCCACAGTCACTGTCCCAACTGGCTAGTGAATTTTCATGGGGTCTTTTTGTAAATATATCACTCTCTCCAACTTGTGAAGTTATAATACACATTTTAATCATGCAAGATTATGACCTGATATATATCTTCATCATATTAGCAGCTTAATGATGAAACCCATGTCATGCCGATATTATCTTATTCTCATCTATTTTTGTTATATTTTGCTTAGTTTCTACATTCAAATTTCGGGCAAGTGAATTATGTTGTGGGCTAGTAACTTTCAAGCATAGCTAGCCCGACTGGCTAGCCAAATTTGGAAACTATTTTGCACACTGTTTGAGGGTCTGTATGACAGAGTAGTAGGAGAATAAACTTTTAAAGATCTAGTTTAGAACTGGACTTCAGCAACCCATGCTTGTCCAAAGAGGCGATTAAGCGGATCAAGTGTTCAGGCTCACATGGTTGATGCATATCGTATCCTGATTGCAGAGAAACAATTAAAAAGTAAATGTCCAGAGACTTTTCTTGATAGTCAAGTTACATCTCAATACATAATACAGTACAAAACTGATAGCCTCATCATGTCCGGAGGCAGTCTCCATCACCAAGGAGAGAAAAAGGAAGCCCACTGATTTATTTTCAGGTGATCAGAGTCATTTTTGTTATATTACGAAAAGGAAGCCCTTTAAAACATCTTCATGTGATCAAAGGCTTTTTTTGTTTTGTTTTCTATGTTATATGTACAAATTGTATTGTTTGAACATGTGACCAGCATAGGCTAAGAGTAGTGTTGTCAGTGAACTGACACTAACCAGGCTGTTTGTTGTACAGGATTCCCAGCTCTGAACCGAGTCGCGAAGAAGCTGTACCTGGACGTTGCACCAGCCATGGTGGGGTGGGACACTCACTGCGGTTTCTCTCATCCTCTGTGAGTTGATCGTAGAATAAATAGGAACATCTGTTATTGTATCTGCTGTCGTTATGTGTATAAAGGTGTATGGTTGATTTTATTATCCCCCGCAATGCGTTTTGCGGGGGGTATTAAAATGGACTCCGTCCATGCGTGCGTCCGTCCTTCGTGCACATTTGTCTTTTCCGGGGCAGAACCGTTCAATATTTCTTCACCAAACTTGGCACATAGATAGATCTGGTGGTGTACTGGTGCCTTTTGGTAGTTTTGGAATTCTGAATAAAAAATTTTTGGCATTTTTTCATGGCAACAAGTTTGACTTAGACTGAAATTGGTGATTGTGCTCTTTTCCAGGGCTGAACTCTAAAACCGTTCACTATTGCTTCACCAAACTTGGCAGATAGATTGGTCTGGTGGTGTACTGGTCCCTTTTGGTAGTTTTGGAATCCTGAATAAAATATTTTTGGCGTTTCCATGGCAACAAGTTTGACTAAGCCTGAAATTGGTGGTAGTGCTCTTTTCCGGAGCTGAACGCTAAAACCGTTCACTATTTCTTCACCAAACTTGGCATATACATAGATCTGGTGGTGTACTGGTGCCTTTTGGTAGTTTCGGATTTCTGAATAAAATATTTTTGGCATTTCCATGGCAACAAGTTTGACATAGAATGAAATTGGTGATAGTGCTCCTTTCTGGAGCAGAACTTTAAAAACCCTTTTCAATACTCTCCTTCCACTTTTCTATATACACACCTAAATATTTGACATAATCATAACTCGTAGACATAATCATGAAGAGTAGCTTTTGCCATTTGTGAAGGGTTGAGGTTTTATGGGGATATTGATGACTTTGTCTTCTTGTTTTTATGCAGGTGATGTCAGGCCTGATGTCTGGAGGGTTACCTTGTTGAATCTTAATAGATGTCAGTTGTTGTGGGGATGTGTGAAGGGTTGAGGATGTCAGTTTTGTAGGGATGTGTGAAAGGGATGTGTGCAGGCCTGATGTCTGGAGTTACCTTGTTGAATCTTAATAGATGTCAGTTGTTGTGGGGATGTGTGAAGGGTTGAGGTTTTATGTGTGCAGGCCTGATGTCTGGAGTTACCTTGTTGAAGCTTAATAGATGTCAGTTGTTGTGGGGATGTGTGAAGGGTTGAGGTTTTATGTGTGCAGGCCTGATGTCAGTTAGTATTTTGTTGTGTGCAGGATTTATGTCTTGAGATATTTTGTTGTGTGCAGGATTTATGTCTTGGGATATTTTGTTGTGTGCAGGATTTATGTCTTGGGATATTTTGTTGTGTGAAGGATTTATTTTTGGGGATATTTTGTTGTGCGAAGGATTGACATCAGGAAATGGTTTTATTTTCATTTTGTGCAGGATTGATGGCTGATTTATGTCTTGGGATATTTTGTTGTGTGTAGGATTAATGTCAGGAAATGATATTGTTTGTTGTGTGCAGGATTGACGGCTGGATCGTGTGTGAGGAGCACAAGGACATCCTGATCGCCGCATGGGACGAGGACCAGGAGATACAGAAGCAGAGGGAGATTGAGGTACATGGCTGTCAAATAGGTGCCAGGATTTGCTAAACCTCGCTCACTGGTACCCTGCTTTGTCCAAAACAAGAACTTCCTGTTGGTAATCTGACTGCGGAACCACATACTGCATCCTGCAGCCGCAGACAAAGGTCTTGTGTCTCAAAACAATTAAATTGCTTCCACTACCTTTTAGATCTGTGTAATGGAGAAGGTAGGGTCTGTTCAATTTGCCACTGAGGGGTATTTGTCTCTCTTTATTGATTTGGTATAACGTTGTTTGGGAGAGACTAGTTATGTGGCATACAGTCTCTGTCAGTCTGGACCTGAGATTAATGAGTTCACTTGTCCTTTTGAAAATTGATTTCTGTTGAATTAAACATATGAGTGAGTATCTTCCTATTTGAACAGTCCTCCAGTACTAACGCACAGCTTCATGTGGGAGAGTCACGCCGACGATTCCCCACATGGGTACAATGTGTGAAGCCCATTTCTGGTGTCCTCCACCGTGATATAGCTGGAATATTGTTAAAAGTGGCGTATAAAACTGAACTCACTCACTCACTCTCAGCTTCATGTGGGAGAAAAGTACAAAGCCATACAAGTCTTAGATGGTAGATTCTTTGGTGAATCAAACTGGAATTTGAACCAATGATCATAGGTTTCTGGCTTGCCCAAGGAATGAAGCTCTCCTTTGTGAATTTCTCCATGTTGGGCAGCTGGGCAAAGCGGCAAAGCATGGCCCTTGGAAAATGAATGGCTAATCTTGTTAACTTCTGATTTGAGTCTTATTACCCACTGCTCTAGTTTAAACACACCTGTTAAAAATTACATGTGCACTCACTCTTTGGTGTGCTAGAAATTGTAAAGAGAGAATTCTATCCAAGAATCTATCTGTCAGTGCCACACCTGCGCTTGGTTTCTTCAAAGTTTCTAACATCTTAAATCTGCATCAATACAGACTTTCCCGCACATTAAGCTGACATGTTGAAGTGACTGAAGTCATGTTTGATTCCGTACCCCCATCTTTGTTTCTTAATATGCTGATAATTCCTGTCACTTGCACTCTTGGTAAAAGGGTGGGTGGGGTAGCCCATGGGTTAAAGCATTAATTTATCATGCTGAAGGCCTTGGTTCAATTACCCGCATGGGAACAATGTGTGAATCACATTTCTAGTGTTATTGCTGGAATATTTGACGAAAAATTTGACAAAACCCAACTCACTCACTCACTCAACTCACTCAACTCACTCAACTCACTCACTCACTCACTCACTCACTCACTCACTCACTCACTCACTCACTCCTTCACTCACTCACTCACTCACTCACTCACTCACTCACTCACTCACTCACTCACTCACTCACTCACTCACTCCAGGTAAAACAGGCCGTGGGGTAGCCAACTGGTAATCACATCGAAGGCCCGGGTTCAGTTTCCAACATCTGTACAAAGTGTTTGATGAATTACACCACATGAGGATCATCTTACTAAACATTTGGGCTTCATAGACCCACTCCGGGTTGTAGTGGTTAGAGCGTCCGCCTGGAGAGCGGAAGGTCGCGGGTTCAATCCCCGACCGTGTCATACCAAAAGACGTTAAAATATGGTACTTGTTGGTCCCTGCCTGGCGCTCGGCATTAATGGGTACAACAAGGACTGGTCGGCTCGGAGTCAGTATACTGTGTCTGAGTGGGGTATTCATGCTTCACTGCGGCATGGTATCTCAGTGGGCTAGCACTATAAAACCAGCTTAAGTCTGGGCTAGTACAAGCAGTCGCACATACATATACACACGCATGCACGTCGTCATATGAACGAAATATTCTCAAGCACGACGTTAAACCCAATTTCACCTCACCTCACCTTGGGCTTCATGTGAATCACATCCTTTCACAGTTTATGTACACATTTGAACATTTTATTTACAAAAACTAAAGTATGAAAACAAAACTCGCCAACCCAGCTTTGGATGAAACTTCGAGAATTTATCTTTTGTGGCCATGCTAAGAGCATTATACTGATTGTATCCTGTACATCCACAGAAAAGGGAGAAGCGGGTGCTAGGCAACTGGAAACTGTTGACACGATCCCTCCTCATCAGAGAGAGGCTGAAGAAGCGATTTGATCTGCAGGTGAGTTGTTATCGATTTAAGACAGTTTGACTACAATATCTCAAATGTGACATGAAATTGTGAAAAGTTCCCGACTCATAGATAACATCCTTACATAATCCAGGTAAGAATCAATGTCCCGAACAATGTTTGCTTGTAATTAAAGGCAACTGATGAGAACTGGGTGTCAGGAATCGTGGTTGTTTGATCTAAACTACATGGATAGAATAATGAAGCTTAAAACTTTGTGGATAAAAACTTGTTTATTTCTTAGAGACCCTATTGAGAGGGTACATAAGTCCCAAAACATTCAAAGTAAATTTAAACTCTCCACTTTTTTAATCGTAGCATATGTGTATTTTTAATGTATGGCTAATTACATCTAAATTGCTAACAGCTAAAGGGATGATGTAAATCCAGCTAGGGCCCATGCAGGAAGCAAATATACTGCAAGTCCCCATGACCCTAGTATGGTGGTCTACCTTCTATAGCCAGCTTTTATATTGTATTGTACTATATAGTATATGATTTTAAGTTCAATGCCAGTTTTAAATCTCTAACTGTGATATGCTAGTTGTTTACTGTCCTTTGGCGACAGATTTTATATTATAACATTATAAAGTAGTTACATATTAACTGTTTTAGTCCGATATGGCTGAAATATTGCCAAAGTGACAAATTTTTAACTCACACACTCACTCAATTTGATATTGTAAAAAGTTTCTAGTTTTTAGTTATGGGTAATACAATCTGACATAACGTAAATTACACGCGTGCTGTCGACAATTGGTTGTTGCTTACATTGCAATTTTGTATGTTTGCACATGCGGACTTGATGGGTTTTTTCATAAACAGTTCCTGATTGCTTTCAAAACTTAACTACATTTGACTTGTGGTAGTGGTGGTCATCTTAGAGGCAGCTTTTATTGACGGGAACGTCACTCACCGACACCAGAAAAACCGTATCCCCTACCCATGTATGTCAATCCATACTAGGCATTTGTTTTAATGACGTGTTAATTTTCTATACTTTACTTGTTATCATTAATGTCTTTAAAGATCTAAAAGTGATTTTGGCCTCATGAATCGCATCTTGCAAACTCAACGACTGCAATTGTCCACTCTCATTGGGAAGGATAGTCTGTCATACAGACCCTGAAGCAATTATATCCAAGAAATCCCACACAAGTCTAGAAAATGTGGCAAGTCAAGACTTCCACAGCTTCTGAAAATGAAGAAAGTCCCTGGGCTCCTTTTTATTGTATTTCCCATCAGTGACACAATGTCAGGAAGACGACTGACTTTACTTTGAGTGCTGGTCCATTGTGTACGAACAGGACACAGACATTAGGACTAAGCAGCATCTTCCGCACAGCGGTTGCATGGAGCATTGTTCTTGTATCTGTTTTTTCCTGGCTAGGGAACAGACTAGAATAATGATTAGTATAATTTTTATCCCCCGCAACACGTTTTGCGGGGGGTATCAAAATGGACTCCGTCCGTCCGTGCACATTTGTCATTCCGGAGCAGAACTCTAAAACGGTTCAGTATTTCTTCACCAAACTTGGCACATAGATAGATCTGGTTGTGTACTGGTGCCTTTTGGTAGTTTTGGAATTATGAATAAAACATTTTTGGCGTTTCCATGGCAACAAGTTCGACTTAGACTGAAATTAGTGGTAGTGCTCTTTTCCGGAGCAGAACTCTAAAACGGTTCACTATTTCTTCACCAAATTGGCACATAGATAGATCTGGTGGTGTACTGGTGCCTTTTGGTAGTTTTGGAATTCGGAATAAAACATTTTTGGCTTTTCCTTGGCAACAAGTTTGACCTAAATTAAGAATCCTCACACAGGGCTAACTGGCATGCTGTTCTGCTGATGTGTCTGCCCCCCAACGTTAAGATGAACGTTACCAAAAAAAACAAATGATAACAGTTTGATGATGGTTTACATTTGGATTAAATATCTTCTCTTAATTATTTTAATTACATCTGTGATTAACGTAAACCATATGGGGCAATATGAACGTCACTTTTCTACTACCAACGTAAGTTTAGATCAGTACATCCCGATGAAGCTGAGTAGTCAAACGACATTCCACGATTGCATTGTGGGAATGTAAACATTTCGAACGTTACCGTGTCGCTGAAAACTTGTGAGTCTAATTGAGACATTTTAACCATCGTAAAACATAAACTTAACGTTTCCACAAGTGATGTTAGCTGCGTGAAGCAACTGCAAGCCAAGAAACGGGATGCAATGGAGTAGTTTACTGTAGGAGGCTGTACGAGGCGATGACAACTGACTTGCATCGTGACGCCGCTTACATTGTGACGTAATGCAAAGTTGTTCGATTACAAGGGGGCAGACTAGAATGGCGCAGCGACGCCAATACATTTTGACGTAATGCAAAAAAGTGCACATTATCGTCTGATAAAGTACTGTCGGCGCCTTTGATCTTTCACCGAAGCATCTTAGAACAACAGTTACCGGTAATTGATAACAAGTAGCTCACAATTGGATTAGGCCAGACCAGAGAGTAAGAACAACAAATAGCAAGTCATGAAGCAAACATACAGGAAGGATTAAATCAAACATGCTGATGTAATGGTAACTGATGGATAGAAGTTGATACTACGATGACGAAGTTAGTGATGTCCATCACTTGATTGTCTCGCCTGCATTATGAAATTTATGCAAGGAAGACAAGTGTCCCTTGTTATAATTGCAGAAGTCATGCTTTTTCTCTGGAGATATTGAACTGTATTGTCATACCAGATTAACTTTACTACAGCAGAAATAATGAATGAAAACACAGTCCACAACAAATGATTTAGGGACCGTTCATAATTTATGGCAAGGGGGGGTGATGATGATTTTTATGCAGAAGCATGTACAATGTGAATGACCCCCCAAAAAACTTACGTACAAAGAAAGTGATGCCCCTTGCATATCATGTACAAGATCAATGATATCAATTTGGATAGTGATTCTCACCAAGTTCAGCATTCATTGGTTTCACATTATTTTTCAACTCGCTGTGCTCATGCGTAGAGCGTGTGAAAAACATCCACTGGCATGTTTCCGGTTTGGTCATATGTTTATCGATAGTGTAAATGCACTCTAAATAAAAGCTGTTATGAAAATGATTTACGTTGTGACAACTGTTCATAGCTGAGTACATACTTCCATTTGCCTCTGCTTTTCAATAATTGATGTCCTAATTTGGTTGCAATTTTATGAGAGATGTGTTTGTTTAGTTGTGAGAAGGGGATGTGCAGGAAGGACGGTGGTGGTGAGATGTCTTTATACAAGAGCTTGTTAACATAAATGAAGCTATTTATTTAACTAATCCCAGCCTCTGTTTCATAAATCAATTGGGCTCAGTTGTATTCGACATAAAACTATATATTTGTTTTGATTTTTGTTTTCTTTGGAGTGTTTACACTATCGATAAACATACGACCAAACCGGAAACATACCAGTGGATAGTTTTTGCACGCTCAGCGCATGCGCACAGCGAGTTGAAAAGTAATGTGAAACCAACAAATGGAGTGAGCTCTGTACTTTTTATGCGTAGGTCAAGCAGTTGTGACAGTCACCAAACATGCATGACTGTCTTTGTTTTTGTAACTGTGTAAAAGAATCTTACAAATACACAGCTGAACATGGAGTCGAGATATTCTAGATGTTGTTGTACAAAATAACCTTAGCGCTACGGTTGTCTGAAGTCTTTGTTATTGAAGCTAAGATCACTTTGTGCAACGGCACCAAGTACAGAGTCATTGGTTGTGGTGTCCATTATGTTCACAGGATTCCGCTAACTTGTTTAACAAAACTTGGAAAATGTACAGCCGACATCCGTGACCATGTTTGTATATGCATTACAGTCCGTTTGAGTCAGAAACGGACCGATGAATTGCAAATTTTATCATTGTACAAAATTGCCACATAAATATAAATAGTACACGTTTATCATTTACTAATACCCAACAGCTTTCTTATATTTGAAAATTTTCCAGACTCCACCACAAAAGTTCTTTAAGAAACTATCATTAAAATTTTGACACAGTTCACTTTTTGTTACGAGGGAGGAGTGCAGAGAAAGGGACAGCCAGGTGTGCGAGAAAGGATGGAGACGGCACAGCACAGGCTAATAAATCAATAACTTGCTGGGCACTTGTACACGTGCTGCTCTAACACCTGGCTGTCCCTTTCTCTGCACTCCTCCCTCGTAACAAATAGTGAACTGTGTCAAAATTTTAATGATAGTTTCTTAAAGACCTTTTTTGGTGGAGTCCGGAAAATTTTCAAATATAAGAAAGCTGTTGGGTATTAGTAAATGATAAACATGTGTACTATTTATATTTATGTGGCAATTTTGTACAATGATAAAAGTTGCAATTCATCGGTCCGTTTCTGACTCAAACGGACTGTAATTGGGAATTTACCTGTTTTTGATTTCATGTCATGAAGTTGAATTGAAGTTGTGAAGCTTGCAAATGATATTCAGTTGAACTGTTATCGCCCTGGACCTAGATTTTCGAAGCTCTCTTAGCGCTAGGGTAGTCGTAAGTGCCATACATTAACATTAACTTACGACTATCTTAGCTCTAAGAGAGCTTTGAAAATCTAGGCCCTGATGTATATGAAGTCTGCAGGCTTGGAGTTTTTTGTGTGAGCATTAGTTTGACAAAGCTTCTTGTAGTAATGTTCTAATACTCTTAAGGTCAGGGTTCCATGCTTACATTACTTTTTTCATGCATTTTGATGCATAACAGATACGTGTTATGAAGATGTTTGATGCAGTATTTGTGGATTTGTGTTGCCAGGATACAAATGCCGAGGAGGAGATGGAGGAGAAAGAGGATTGTGGGGAGGAGAAGACGGGAAAGGAAGAGAAGGCTGTAGACGTTGTTCAGTCGTGGCCGGCAAACAGGCAGAAGGGGAAGCACAAAAAACTGTCTGAAAACACTGAAACCATGTGATCTGTGGAACTGTCAGTGAGATATGTTTGTGGGGCTGTGGCTGACAGTGAGATATGTGAATGGTTGAAGCCATCTTTGAGATAAACAAACAGCTGTAGCTAATTATGAAATGTTTGAACAGTTGAAGCTGTTATTGAAATACATGAACAGCTAAAGCTTTCAGTTAGATGTGCTGAACAGTTGAAGCTGTTATTGAAATACATGCTAAAGCTTTGCTGAACAGTTGAAGCTGTTATTGAAATACATGAACAGTTGAAGCTGTTATTGAAATACATGAACAGCTAAAGCTTTCAGTTAGATGTGCTGAACAGTTGAAGTTGTTATTGAAATACATGAACAGCTAAAGCTTTCAGTTAGATGTGCTGAACAGTTGAAGCTGAACAGCCCCTTATATTGCACATATTTTCTTGAATTAACTCAAGAGTTGTTTCCATTAGCAGGTTCCTATGGAAACACTCAAATCTTAAACTTCATTCAACCAAAGTTGCATAACTAGTCTTAGGATGTTTACTTCTATGCTACGTTTCTCCAAACGGAAAAATTGGGTGTCATGGGTGCTGAGTGCCTTTATGAAGTACCACTTCCACTGATCAAACTCATAGTGCTTCTGGGATAGAGTATACCCATGAAGGTCCGGGTTAGAATATTGATCTTCAGTAACCCATGCTTGTCATAAGAGGCGACTAACGGGATCGGGTGGTCAGGCTGGCTGACTTGGTTGACACGTCATTGGTTCCCAGTTGTGCAGATCTATGCTCATACTGTTGATCACTGGATTGTCTGGTCCAGACTTGATTATTTACAGACTGTAGCCATATAGCTGGAATATTGCTGAGTGCAACATAACACTAAACTCACTCACTCTGGGATAGAATAGGTTCCAGGTATCCAATGCTGGTTGTAAGAGATGTAGACAGTAACAATAGGTCAGACTCATTGTGTTTGTTGATTGTTTGCGCCAGATTGTGTCCAGTGTTTTTATTTGTGAAGATCGAGGTTAATTTGATCTTCAGCAAGTCATGCTTATCATAAGAGACTGGTTGGTCTGACTCACTGACTTGTTGGATGCGTGTCATCATGTCCCAGTTGCATAGATCAGTGCTCATGATGTCAATCACTGGTCAAGACTTATTATTTACAGACCACCGTTATATAGCTGTAATATTGCTAAGGATGCTCTTAAGCTAAAAGGTCATCATTACTGCCCCTGCTTTATTGTCCCAGAACCCGTGAAGATCTGGGTAAGAATTGATCTTCAGTAACCCATGCTTGTCATAAGAGGCGACTAACAGGATTGGGTGGTCAGATTTGGTTGACATATGTCACCGTATCCAAATTGCGTAGATCAGTGATCATGCTGTTGCTCACTGGGTTGTCTGGTCCAGACTCGATTATTTACAGCCCGCTGCCATATAGCTGGAATATTGCTGAGTGCGGCGTAAACATTGCGCACTCACTTATAGTCCCAATTTTAGTGTCAGTGAAGACTTTGTACAGTAATCATCAGTCATTAGTCATTTAGTCCACAACAAATAATAGCCCAGACCAACAAGTTGTTTTGTCCACAAGTGTAATTTTTAACTTAATCACTCATCTGAAATAAACTGCGGGCTAACTTGATGTGGGGATGGATTGGCCATACGCTCCACAAGCCTGCCTCAGGCCCCGTCACCCGTTAGGCCCTAGACTGGAATCCACAAGGGAAGCGGAAAGTGGGTCGACCAAAACAGACTTGGCGCAGAAGCATTGACGCAGAGGCAAAGGCAGCCGGAACGACGTGGGCCGAGCTGAAGAGGATCTCCCAGAACCGCGTCCGTTTGAAGGGGTGTTGTTGCGGCCCTTTGTTCCCCAAGGAATCAAGAGGCATAAGTCAAACTTGATGTGACCAATGGTGTATAATCCTAACACATGATTTCAGAACACGTCATCGGTTCCCAGTTGCGCAGATTATTTTCAGAATGCCGCCATATAGCTGGAATATTGCTGAGTGTGGCGTAAAACTAAACTCACTCACTCATGGTTTCAGACCAAGGAACCAAGGGAGACAACTCACATGGTGTCGCTCATCTCATCCCATCATCATCCTTTAAGTGCTGATTGTTGTTTTATGTATGGCAGCATTATAAAGAAAATTCAGGTTTGTGACAACTGCCATTCCAAGAGAAACTGTTTAAGAATAGATTGATATTGTCTAGAATTTTATACTGAAAATATGAGTAGAGTCTGTGATGTTTTTGACAATAACAATAAACAAAGTCAACAACAGTTTCCATTTTGTGTTGTTTTTCACAGAAGACCATATATTTTCTTCAGGATCTTGGTCTAGACTGGACTGTCTCTGGGGTCTAGAGGTCAGAGGGTCTTCCCAATGTGTAGGACAATGTCACAATTTCAGTATTAATAAATGTATTAGATCTTATACCAACAGTTAAACATAGGCCATTCTTTCATATTCAGTTTGAAGATGTTAATTCACTACTTGAGGTCACCACTTTGACAACATTTGTTTCATTTGATTCCACATTAGAATACAAATTAAATCGAAAACTAAAGCACCTCGTCAACAAACACGGGCTTACCATCGACTAAATACAATGTGTGGTGGACCCTTGAAAATCTGGTTAGAACTGGTCTTCAGCAACCCACGCTTGTCGTAAGAGGCGACTAACGGGATCAGGTGGTCAGGCTCGCTGACTTGGTTGACACTTGTCTCATCCATACCCAATTTGTGTACATTGATGCTCATGATGTTGATCACTGGATTAGCTGGTCCAACAACAATTATTTACAGACCGCCACCATGATACTGCTAAAATATTGCTACAAGGGGCATAAAACCATTCTCACTCAAGAAATCCATTTTTTACATATCTGACACAGCAGCAGCTGCATCTAGTCATTTATGCCAATAATATGGAATGAAATTTGGTACATTGTAGAAAGTAGTATATGTGTTTTCTGTACTTGAATGGTGGTAAAAATAAATGTAGGAGAATTCAAACCAAATAATCATATTTTTATTTATTTTAAAGATTTTTCAGTCAACATATTTACAATCCACAACTGATTCACACACATTCACACAGCACCATATTCTGTCAAAATACCAACATCTCGTTATCTCGTTTCCTTACACTATGACTGATTTCTTTAGAAAAAACCCTCAGAGGGCCTCTTTCTGAGAGACCAACCTTTATAGGACCTCTTTTTGATAATTTTTATACAGTTATTTCACTCAAATATAAGTGTAAACCTTATACCAGTTTTGTAAACAGTCATAATCCCAGAATCCTTGTAAAAATAGCTGAAAGTAGTGTAAAAAGCACTTTTTCTCATGGGCCTCTATTCATAACATCCTCAATGTACGACCCGAAAGTAATTAATTTCCAAAATGATAATCATTCAGGAAAAGATTTGTTAAGGTGAGAATTTGAAAGTTTACAGCGAATGCTAATATCGACAGACTGGTTGATGATAACAGTCTCAAAGAAACTATCAAATAATCTATCATATGTTCCTCCTCACTTCACAGTTCACAAATGGTAACCCCAATTATCCAAAAATGAAAGGAACACTGACACTATTTGTCCTAAACTGAGAGCATAATATTTGAAGTCAAAATATTTATGGATAACAGCTTCTTTCTTTTTGTCATGAAAGTTAACAAATTTGTTATCCATGAAACTTTCCATTGCTTTATGGTCTTCCAACTTCTATATGACTGGCGAAGATTTGATTTAACAGCATATCTGTTGTCATCTTTTCATCTGTTTATGTCAACATGGCACGAAGAAATGACGAGTCTTTAACTTATGTCCATTTTCCAGGATGTAACTGATGTCAGCTCTTGGACCTTTCCAAAGCAATCTTTTTCCTTTCCTTTTCAATCAACTCATCCATGTCCTGTAAAATAACATACAATCAGAACAAGGTAGATTAAATCAGCCAAGGGCTTTCACAATTCACCCCTATATTCTGTAGTCATGTACAAAATATGTAACATAAATACAGCTCTGAACAAGCATTCCATCATGTCTTCCAATAGCCTAACACTACACGACCAACACGTCGAGGATTATGTATACCAATGTCAAATGATCATCGACAGTCTTACAACATGTATACCTCCATCCAGTGGCCAATCAACAAGTCAAACACTATGTATACCTTCATCCAATGGCCAATCAACAAGTCAAACACTATATACCTCTATCCAATGGCCAATCAACAAGTCAAACACTATGTATACCTACATCCAATGGCCAATCAACAAGTCACTCACTATACATACCTACATCCAATGGCCAATCAACAAGTCAAACACTATGTATACCTACATCCAATGGCCAATCAACAAGTCACTCACTATACATACCTACATCCAATGGCCAATCAACAAGTCAAACACTATGTATACCTACATCCAATGGCCAATCAACAAGTCAAACACTATGTATACCTACATCCAATGGCCAATCAACAAGTCACTCACTATGTATACCTACATCCAATGGCCAATCAACAAGTCAAACACTATGTATACCTACATCCAATGGCCAATCAACAAGTCACTCACTATGTATACCTACATCCAATGGCCAATCAACAAGTCACACACTATATATACCTACATCCAATGGCCAATCAACAAGTCACACACTATATATACCTACATCCAATGGCCAATCAACAAGTCAAACACTCCATCCAATGGCCAATATACCTACATCCAATGGCCAATCAACAAGTCACACACTATATATACCTACATCCAATGGCCAATCAACAAGTCACACACTATATATATACATATGGCCAACATCCAATGGCCAATCAATCATCAAGTCAAACACTATGTATACCTACATCCAATGGCCAATCAACAAGTCACACACTATGTATACCTACATCCAATGGCCAATCAACAAGTCACACACTATGTATACCTACATCCAATGGCCAATCAACAAGTCACACACTATGTATACCTACATCCAATGGCCAATCAACAAGTCACACACTATGTATACCTACATCCAATGGCCAATCAACAAGTCACACACTATGTATACCTACATCCAGTGGCCAATCAACAAGTCACACACTATGTATACCTACATCCAATGGCCAATCAACAAGTCACACACTATGTATACCTACATCCAATGGCCAATCAACAAGTCACACACTATGTATACCTACATCCAATGGCCAATCAACAAGTCACACACTATGTATACCTACATCCAATGGCCAATCAACAAGTCACACACTATGTATACCTACATCCAATGGCCAATCAACAAGTCACACACTATGTATACCTACATCCAATGGCCAATCAACAAGTCACACACTATGTATACCTACATCCAATGGCCAATCAACAAGTCACACACTATGTATACCTACATCCAATGGCCAATCAACAAGTCACACACTATGTATACCTACATCCAATGGCCAATCAACAAGTCACACACTATGTATACCTACATCCAATGGCCAATCAACAAGTCACACACTATGTATACCTACATCCAATGGCCAATCAACAAGTCACACACTATATATACCTACATCCAATGGCCAATCAACAAGTCAAACACTATGTATACCTACATCCAATGGCCAATCAACAAGTCACACACTATGTATACCTACATCCAATGGCAACAATCAACATCCAGTCACACACTATGTATACCTACATCCAATGGCCAATCAACAAGTCACACACTATGTATACCTACATCCAATGGCCAATCAACAAGTCACACACTATGTATACCTACATCCAATGGCCAATCAACAAGTCACACACTATGTATACCTACATCCAATGGCCAATCAACAAGTCACACACTATGTATACCTACATCCAATGGCCAATCAACAAGTCACACACTATGTATACCTACATCCAATGGCCAATCAACAAGTCACACACTATGTATACCTACATCCAATGGCCAATCAACAAGTCACACACTATGTATACCTACATCCAATGGCCAATCAACAAGTCACACACTATATATACCTACATCCAATGGCCAATCAACAAGTCCACTATGGCCAATCAACAAGTCACACACTATATATACCTACATCCAATGGCCAATCAACAAGTCAAACACTATGTATACCTACATCCAATGGCCAATCAACAAGTCACACACTATGTATACCTACATCCAATGGCCAATCAACAAGTCACACACTATGTATACCTACATCCAATGGCCAATCAACAAGTCACACACTATGTATACCTACATCCAATGGCCAATCAACAAGTCACTATATATACACTATGTATACCTATGTATACCTACATCCAATGGCCAATCAACAAGTCACACACTATGTATACCTACATCCAATGGCCAATCAACAAGTCACACACTATCCAATATACCTACATCCAATGGCCAATCAACAAGTCACACACTATGTATACCTACATCCAATGGCCAATCAACAAGTCACACACTATGTATACCTACATCCAATGGCCAATCAACAAGTCACACACTATGTATACCTACATCCAATGGCCAATCAACAAGTCACACACTATGTATACCTACATCCAGTGGCCAATCAACAAGTCACACACTATATATACCTACATCCAGTGGCCAATCAACAAGTCACACACTATGTATACCTACATCCAATGGCCAATCAACAAGTCAAACACTATGTATACCTACATCCAATGGCCAATCAACAAGTCACACACTATGTATACCTACATCCAGTGGCCAATCAACAAGTCACACACTATATATACCTCCATCCAATGGCCAATCAACAAGTCACACACTATGTATACCTACATCCAATGGCCAATCAACAAGTCACACACTATGTATACCTACATCCAATGGCCAATCAACAAGTCCACACTATGTATACCTAATCCAATGGCCAAGTCAAGTCACACACTATGTATACCTACATCCAATGGCCAATCAACAAGTCACACACTATATATACCTACATCCAATGGCCAATCAACAAGTCACACACTATGTATACCTACATCCAATGGCCAATCAACAAGTCACACACTATATATACCTACATCCAATGGCCAATCAACAAGTCACACACTATATATACCTACATCCAATGGCCAATCAACAAGTCACACACTATGTATACCTACATCCAATGGCCAATCAACAAGTCACACACTATATATACCTACATCCAATGGCCAATCAACAAGTCACACACTATGTATACCTACATCCAATGGCCAATCAACAAGTCACACACTATATATACCTACATCCAATGGCCAATCAACAAGTCACACACTATATATACCTACATCCAATGGCCAATCAACAAGTCACACACTATGTATACCTACATCCAATGGCCAATCAACAAGTCACACACTATGTATACCTACATCCAATGGCCAATCAACAAGTCACACACTATGTATACCTACATCCAATGGCCAATCAACAAGTCACACACTATGTATACCTACATCCAATGGCCAATCAACAAGTCACACACTATGTATACCTACATCCAATGGCCGATACATCATGTGTATTGTCTGAGACCCAGCAAACATGGACAACATGGCCGCGGTTGTGAAGCGCAGGTACCGGCCCCAGGTCACACCAGCAGGCATGATGGGATGTAAGGGAACCAGTACTGAAGTGTATGCACGACCTAGGACGATGCTTCAAGTTCTAGAGCTTTTCTGATGGCTTGCTTTCTCTTGTAAACTGAATCTGAAATGAACAGAAAAATGTTCAGATATTCTTATGAATACCAAGAATATTATAGAATTAAGCCTGTGGTCTGTAGCTTGAATATCCAAGTCAACTGGAATTGAGACAGTGTTTGCAGCTACTTGCGAAAATTGAATCAGTCCCAGAAATCCTTCCATATAATACATACATTTATACCACCAATCATTTCCGTTGTGACACCACCAGTTAAGTCTCCTATGACCTTGCTGTTAGCTATAATAATGAAAACCCAAACATGCATCTCCATTGTATTGGTATAGCATCGATTCTGAAAACATCAACTATGGTTATTTCCTTGATCTTAGGTCTTTGTTGAATCTGAGAAACACCAGTCACCTGGGTGTCCAATCTAAAAGCCTTAGTGTCTGATACTATTAGAAAATACGCCTGAAGCTACCTCCTTAGGTGTCCTATGACCTTCACAGAAAGGTAATACATTGGAATAAAAGAACCGTTTTTTAAGACTGGCCTCCCAACAGATATCAGGTAGTGATTTGTAGCTACATAATACAGTGGAAGCTGTCTAAACCGGCACTCATCTGGACTGAAGAAATAATTCGGTTTAGACAGCTTGTAGAGCGGACTCAGTTACCTACGACTAGATTTGAACTCATATTCACTTTTATTCACTTAATAACATAAACATGAAAAAACAACACATTGGAAAAAAATCAGACATTTTGGTTTGTTTCTTCGCAATTGACGATTCGAGAGTGATTTTCAATGTTCTCAATGTGGGACAGCACAAATTATCTTGATGGCTACCGCACACTCATAATCCCTTGTTATTTCAATGCAGGATTAATTGGTGACAATACACAACCCACAGACTCCTCGCCAACCGCCAGATTAGACAGTGCTGATTACTGTATAAACACATATTCGGGTAACTCATTTTATGTCGAGATCCGGAATTGACAGCTGCCGGATTTCAGAGCTTTTAAATGATGATAAATGTTCTAGCCATGGACGGGACTGAGATTTTATGCCAGTGTTGACAATTTGCCGTATTGGACAGCTGCCGATTTCTCGACGGCTTCCACTCTACCTGCAATAAGGTAGACATGGATAAGGTAGAGGCTGATGACAACACAATGTCACCTACCGAAAAATATCCATGTCAAATTGTTGTAGGAATGGTTATCTTACTGTCGTCTGCTAAGCAGCCTATGCGCATGCGCTGAGTGGAGGCATGTGTGATTGGATGACTGAGCGAGAGTTCGACGCGTGATGTGCTTGAGTACATTATCACGCTTGCAACGTGACCTGGTAGTTTGTGACTATGACTATGCTGTCGACACATGGAATAAAGGTGTAAACCTGAACTCTGCCTTCTTTTCAAAATGATTGAAAACTAACTTCCTCTACAAAGGAATGTATATTAACAAACTCATGGTCTGCCAATGGCTATTATCTTGTCTGACAGAGATAACTGCGATGAAAACTTTGGAGTTTTCTGCTTTTTTCCATCTTTTTCCTTTTCAGAGAAATAACCTGCCAACTAGTTTTACCCCCAAAGGGACTCCAAAAACTGCTTTTATTATCTATATTGCAATGTGTAGAGAGACATGTTGAACAACTTGTTTGTGTATCTCCGATTGGAAACAAATAGTTTACAGATTAAACAGTGTTTTTGAGGAAGACGGGTTGTACATGAAATTAAGTCAAATCATTTCACGAATTAACCACTACTGAACAAATAACAAGTATATTTGCTTGGTATTTGTTTTGTTTGTTTTTTATGTTGTTTTTTTTCAGGGTATGTTGTTTGGGTTTTGGTTGTTGTTGTTGTTGTTTTTTTTATGTTGAGTTTTAGCTGATTATGTGGGATTATATCCGACCAAGGCGGCCAGGTTTTATTATAAATATACTTTTGGCTTGGGCAATATTGAGTAGGCTTAGGAGTGTTTCAAGTGTTGTGTCCAGTGAACTCTGGAGCACCATTCTGTGTTGGAAAACCAAGTTCTATGTATAGTCAACTTCTTTATTGCAATGAGTGTGACGTTTCGGTGTAGGTAGCAAGTGATGAACGGTGTTAGCACCTACACCGTAACGTCGCACTCATTGCAATAAAAAAGTTGACTATCCATATAACTTGGTTTTCCTTCACCTATACAACTTCTAAAAATGCCTCTCAAAGAATAACCATTCTGTGTTGTTGGTAGTGTATGCCAGAGGTACAGATAAGCTGCGTATGTGCGTAAATTACGCAAATATTTATGTGGAAACTCAATACCTATTAAGTCTATTGCGTACAAGTACGCTTGAATTTTTGTAAATACTCAATAAATGTGATCTTACATGCGTACACACAAAATTGTCAAATCTTTGTTTGACTAACATTAAACTTTATTATATAAATTAAAAATTAATGGAAAATGGCAAAATACCCAATTGAGTTGAGTGAGGCGAGTACAATTTATTTGGTTACTCAAAGGAAAAGTAAGATACCCAATTGAGATGAACACAAGCGAGTACATAACTCAATGATCCAAAAAGTTATCTGCAGCTCTGGTATGCAGTGTAGTAGGACATATTCAGACATTCTGTTTGATGCAGTATGTGCAGTTGTCTTTTTGGTGATTTTTTATTTCATTAACTTTGTTAATTAATACCACCTTATAAATTACAGGGTATAATTACACTTGTTAGTTAAAACAATAGTGTTAAATAATAACACTCAAATAAGTGGATTTCTACAATTGGACTAGTTGTGCCATTCACACCCAGACTGTCGAATGTTTTATCAATACACACCCGGACTGTCGAAAAGCAGTGGAGCGTGGCAATGCTCAACACTGCTCTAATAACACCAGGAGTGTCGACTGCCTTGGAGAACATGAACCTGAGAACAGCAGAAAGACTGCGCTAATCCGCTCTACTCTAATTAACGAGGGAGAAGACATGAGTGCTATTGTTGTTGAAATGAGAAAAGAGTTTGAGTTTGAGTTAGATTTGTCACATTTCCTTCTCAATGATACAGATACAGGCGGAAGTACACAACTGTTGTTGTTGAAATGAGAAAAGTTAACTAGATTTGAATCAGATTTGTCACATTTCTTCTCACGGATACATATGTAACTATATAAGCTAGGTAAGTAACATAAACGATGTCTATATCAGCTATATCATGTTATAAACGCCCCAAAACCATTAATAAGCCAACTACTAAAACTTTATAATACAGCTTGGATAAACGGTCAAAAACCAAAAGCCTGGAAACATTCCCTTATCATACCCATACACAAACAAGGCCAAGACGTAAACAAAGCCGAACCATATCGGCCAATATCTCTAACATCTAACATACGCAATACCATGGAGGGTACAGTTAACAAGCGCCTCACACAATATCTTGAAACACAAAATGTACATAATACAACTTATCAGGCTTTCGCAAAAAAAAGGTTTAAAAGGGGCACTTCTAAATTTTGCATCAGCCTTTCTAACAGACGGAGACTTTAAGGTCTCCATAGACCATCAAATCTGATGATATATTCAACAACCTCAGTAAAAACATAAACAAATCCCAGTTTGCCGACAATGGAGCAATATGGGTTAATGAAAACTAGCACTTAACGTGGAACAAACACGCTCAATTCATACAAGAAAAATGCAAGCCAGATCTCAACATTATGAAATACTTATCACATAGTAAATGGGGTAGCAACAAACAAACATTACTACTACTATATAAATCACTCATCAAATCTAAATTACTCTATGGCTGCGAAATATTTCAAGATATGGCACAAACACCAATTCCAAGCACATTCTAACAAACCCCAAATTAATTAAACTACCCATTAAATATCTCATTCATACAAAATGCCCGAGCATGCCCGTATAACAAAGTGGCCACAATAAAGAATGTACTGTATAACTTATTTTGTTTTCCATAAATGCCCGGAGCGTCGAACGCCATAGTGTTAACGCCTAATTACCTCTTACGTAATACCCGAAACATCGAATTTATTTAATTTCAATTTTTGACAGTCCGGGTGGACACCAGTTGTGCCTCCCAATCAGCAAGTAATTTGGAGAAGAGGTTACTTCAAATGTAAATATGCTTCAATGTGGTTAACATTTCACAACCATTTGTTGTGTTTGCATGTTAACTAGTGTGTTCCATTTAATTTATGGCTTGCATTTAAAAAATCAAAGTCAGAAAGTCCCTTTTTCACTTTGGGCAAGGTTTCATTTTTGTGAGTTTGATTTTATTTATATAGCTTGTTTTGTAAAACCGTAAGTAATATATATGGTGCGTTTTTCGCTGTGTAGGAGGTTTGTATTTGCTATAAGCCTGTACGAGAGAAAGAAAGAAAAAGATTCTTTCTAAAGTGCTGCAGGGCATCATTTGAAGTTAAACCCTGTTCACAAGAACAGAAGTAACTGGTTGCACTGTCGTCACTGATTTTGTAATAGAAAACAAATCATGCGCAAAAGTGCTTTCCCTGTGACTAGATTTGTAGCGTATCTGTCAAATTCGTTTGTCCATTTGATACTCTGTAAGATTCCAGCTTTTTCAGAGTAGTAAAATTGCTATATTATGTTGAAATGAAAGTGTTGCGCATAATATAGCACATATATTGCAGCCATTCTTGAGGGAGAGGTAACTTTGACCTTCAAATCACTTTCATCATGTGATCGAAAATTGAACAAATTGTTCCACTTACAAAAATTTACTTCTCCAACTTGCCACTTGATCATTGAAAATTCAACAGTAGCTCCAAGAACGAAAAAGCAAGGAAGGAATCTATAAATGCCAAAAGTTCGCTTTCCTGGCCATTTGTCTATAACAGCTCGAATAAATTGATCGACTGACATTATTACATTGTGTAAACAAGGAATTTGTGCATGGCTAAATGGGCGCGGCCATTTTCTTTTTTAACGCATGCGCATTAGGAGTAATGGCGAATTTCTGCTTTGTAAAGCTATATTTGATTGGATCCTTTGTAATCACTTTAGCCAATCAGTGGTAGTTTGTTAATCGGGCTTCTGTTCGAAACAAAGCCAACATGGAGTGAACTGGCGCTCGCTGAAGCTGGAAAAAAATCTCACTGAAGGTACATCTAGAGGCTCCCGCGGTAAATGCTATTGATCGTCGTTATCTTTAACGCTCTCTTTCCCCGTTGCTCCATCCTTTCGGCTCAGCATCAATGCGATCGCAGAGTAGAGCTGCTTGAAAATTACAGCAAATGTCATATCATCAAAACCTTTTGTAGATCGTCATCATCCGCTGACATTACATTATGGAAGGTTGTTATTTCATGTTCGATTTTTTAAACATCAAAACTGGCACGCTATATCAAACGACAGATTCCCATGTTGTGTTTGCAGGCACTGGTGTTTGGCAGTGGGAACCAAATTTTGATATTTTTCCGTGGTAAATTTGTAGTGTTGCCGAATTTGTCGACACGTTGTAGTGAAATTCTTGCTCGTAGATCTAGGTCTAATCACCCAGTCCTGTGCGACCATGTTAATTAGCATTTGCAGATGAAATTATACATGGAAAATGTATCGAAATTAACGTCGAAATTGTCATTGTTTATGAACAGTACAAGTTAACTTTCATTTTTGGACCATTGTGGGTCAAGTGTGAACTGTCAGATCTAGAATAGCAGAGACTGCCACTGCCACAATTGTGTTTCTGATTTGACATGTCTTGTTCAATTAGATGATCACTTTCCTCTCTGATTTGTAACCCAGTTCCACTTTTTAGTGATTTCAAGCTTTCATATCCCATATTAGATTCTGATTAAAGTAAAATAATCACACTGCATTATTCCAATTTGTACAAAAGAATTCCATGGATATAACTTCTTTAACAGTGAAACGGCTTATTACTCATCTTTTCACCAAATCCTGTGAAGTTCACATTGTCTTGACATCTCTTTGTTGTATTTGTTATGAAAATATGGCAGTTCTATTATGTTAGTGGGCATAAAAAGCTGTGTTGTATCTGTTACTGACATTTTGTGTCAGATGTCATGCATTCTGAGCTTCTACCTTCACTCTGCCTCATATTTTGTACACCTTTTGAACCTGGTAAATCATTTTTCCAATTTCCATTCACTATTATGTTTACTGAAATTTTATCTTACTGTAAAATACTTTTTCAAATGTTTGACGCAGATTGAAATAATATCAATTATTTTAATTTGGGTATCACTGACACTAATTTAAACAGTTACTTTGGAATTATCATTATCCATTATAATTCTAACCATGACTATGTCATACTTGTGGTTGTGGATATCACTGAGTGAGAGTGATGGAAATAGTTCAACACAGACATGGCACATGTCATCATGAGTTTATCATCATGAACAGGTAATACAATGCATATCATCTTTGTGATCATGAGAGGCATGTGATGTAGCCTAGTGGTGAAGGTGTTGGCTTATCAATCAGAAGAGGTGTTCTATTCCCCACATGGATACATTGCATGAAACACATTATCTGGTATTCACCTTGTGTGATTCAGTGTTGTGTGTGACATGCGTCAAGAACACACATTTGTACAGAATGGATGCAGAAAAAATATATACTGCGTTACCACAGAGGCACAGTAAAATTAATCGTGCCAAATTCTTGACAAAAAGTTTAACTTTCTTGTAAATAAATTTATTATTGCTCTTACAGATCAGACCACTACACCATTTCAGTACTTTTCAGGAAACATATTTCCTAAAAAAAACTTTGTAAAATTAGTAATTGGAGGTTCACTGGGCCCCTAGGTTTGTAATTGTTGGTAGAGCTAAAACCCTGGTGATGTTTGAAATGAAGAATTGAGTGTCAACTCTGTTGTTAAAAGATAAACTATGTGTAGGGGATCCATAGATTCAGTGGCATGTTGGTTAAAGCGGTGTTGAATCCTGCTTACTATTCATTGCATGAGGATTCTTTCAGAGCTGACTTAACTGAGGATCATTGTGGTCCCAGCTGTTGTTACAATGTGACAAGTCTTCCACTTATGTATGGGTGACTTCAAGGAAAGAAACTGAAAGCCTATCATGGTCAAAACTGAAACATTGGACAAACGTGAAAATTTGCATCTTGGGGGAAGTGACTTTTGTTATGACAAAGACATATTAGTGTATATAAAAATATTGTTATAATGAACATAAATATGATGTAACATATTTCCAGTTATGGAAAAGAGATTTGTTATTATGAAAAAGGACTCACTATAGCAAAGACAAAGTTGTTATACTAAAAAGAAAAAATATTGATACTTACTCTTAGTTCCAAGACATAAACTACTCATACACATGACAACACACAGATTGGTATTTACAGTATAAGTAAGTTACACTAATTCAAGTCCCCAAATGCAACATCTTTCAGACATGATTGTAAAGCTGGTGGCTCAGGACATAATGACTGATCATTACGACTGTTTCATATTCCTCATATTTTATTTGCAAAAAAATAGAATTGTCTTTTCTTCAGGCTTTCATAAGAATGTACCAGTCTTGGCATCACTGTTTTACTTGATACATACATGTGCTTCCAGTACTCACAAATACAAGGTTTGAGCACAAGATACATTGTTGGATATGTCCCTGCAATTAATGATGTGTAAAGCGCCATTAAACATTTATGCAGCTACATTATCACATCCTGATGGGAATCAACTGTATTACTATCACTATCAGTCGAACAATGCAAAGGAGTGGTTGATATAAAAGCTGGATTCATACTGTTATCTGGTCAAATATAACACATGCATCCTTCACCTTCAGTCGGTGGTCAAACTCCAAACCACATCATATCAAAAGGTGCTTGTTTTCATCATGCTTGGCGCTTGTCATAAAGGGGCTAATGCAAGAGGTGGTCATCTCAGATTCAGTAGTGTGTGTAGGGGTTATCCATGCAGCTTGGTATCTCTTACTCTCTCTGTCATACAAAATACAGCAGCTTTATATCGGAAAAGCAAAATCACATTATTTTTCACCAAACCACTTGTTTGTTAAGTTACAGTGCCTCAGAACCATCCATCCATCATCCATCCAGACAAAAACAAGACATTGCCAACAATAAGCATGAATAGTAGCAGTGTTCACGAATAGCGTCTGACCCTCTGACAAATCTGGCAGATTCGCCAACGGTCTGATAGAAGTCTCAAACTGGCCCCAGTGTCTGACTGTTTGTTTCACAATGACTTTGACTGAAGTTGTTATATGTGACACGTGACACTTGTTTGCTGTTTATAAATCTTATATTTGTTAATAATTTGAATGCCAGTTATAAGAAATGTTCAATCTGAAATGTGTGTTTAATTTCATTCTATGGGTCCTGTGAATTTTCAATGTGTCTGACAGACATCTGAAACTTGCAGGACCCAATGTCCTGTTACTTTGAAACACCATTCGTGAACACTGATAGTAGTCACATTCACAAATACTGTCCACCCTCTAAAGCATTTCATTTTTCCTTATCCTGACTCATGCTAATTATGTCTCCTTCCTCTTGCAAATGATAGTGGAACACTTGAAATCCCTTGAAGCTCCCTTTAAAAAAGCGAACGTAAAATCCCTCACCCAGAGTAGCGTCCCTTCTTCCCTTTGGCACCCTTTTGGTCACCTGACCGACCATGCCTTGTGACTCTCTCCTTCTTCGCCCTTGAGGACGGTTGTGAGAGCACCTGGGTCCCTATACGGCACATATCCTTTTATATTGTCGGACCTTACATCAAAATTATTGCCGTATACGTTTTTTAGGATTATATTCTACATTACGGTTTGAAATTTGTTCTAAATTTCTGTTGTTTGACATGTGTTTTCTTCATGTTTACAATTGATGAAAACTTGTATTCGTTGTAGGTACCGAGTGTCTGCGGCTGACCCTCATTTATTATGTCCTAATTGCATGTTCTTTCAGCTCTCGCTGTAAGTAGTGTGTAAAATTAAATTCGGTTGAATTTAATAATTACCTTATTTTCCATCCATAGATGTGCTGAGGACTGGGTACCTAGGTATTCACAAGTCATGTCTAAATCAAGTGATTGCGCTGATAATCGTGTGTTAACCACTGCTGCAGATATTCATAATTCTAGTGAATCGCTGAACGTTTCTCAGGAGCAGGTCGATGTATCAGGGGTGAACGCCGGAGGCCATAAGAGATCGTCTACTGAGCTGACCTCATCGCAGATGAAGTAGGCCAAATCTTCATCTTCGCAGAAGAAGAAGGCTACTACCATGAAGACTTCAGCGAAGTCTCAGATCAGCTCTACACAGAAGACGAGGTCTTTCTCAGCCCAGATTGTTCCTCCAGAAGAAGCAGATGCTTATGATGATCCACCCATCCTCATACCTGAGGTCACCATCGTCAGCAAGGAGACGAAGCCTGCTTCTACAGCTACATCGACATTGCTATCAGCGCAGACACTGACAGAAGACCTACTTTCAACGCAGACATCGAACGGTTTTACTCCGACATCTCATTCGTCCAGCAGACTACCTCGCCAGCATAGATCTGCAAGATGCGTACCTCCACATCCCGATACATCCTGACTCAAGGAAATACCTAGGTTTCCTGTTCAACGGACAGCACTTCCAATGGAAGGTTCGGCCCCCTGGTTGTTTACTCGAGTAACCAAACCCATCGTCGAGGTCTACGCAGTGCTTTCTATCTGGACGACGGGATTCAAGCTCATGAAGATCCCAGTCAACTCAGACTGCAACTAGACTTCACCATCAGGCTGCTCACTCAACTAGGATGACTATTGAATCTCCTCAAGTCGGAACTGGAGCCGAAACAAGATCTGCAATTCCTAGGAATTCGACTCATCACACCAGTGAATCGTATAGTCGTTCCAGAGGATCGTTGGGTCAAAATACAACAAATGATATCTCAAGCATTCTCTCCGTTGACACTACGTGCTTGGCAAAGCATGCTCTGTCTACTCTCCTCAGCTCAAGACATGACTCGCAGAGGGTGATTACAGTTGCGCCGACTACAAGTATTTGTGAACGCCCACCTAGACAGTCTAGATCCGTTAATACTACCGGACAGCCTGAAACCATATCTCCTATGGTGGACTCGGAAGTCGAATGTTTGCGGAGGGACCTTTTTGTCAGAGCCGGTTTGCAACACGCATCTCTACCTGGATGCCTCCCTATAAGGATGGGGTGCGCACTTCAACAACGAAGTAGCAGCAGGGAAGTGGTCGAGTCAGGATCAGAAGTTACACATCAATCTGTTGGAGATGAAAGCAGTTATCAAGGCTTTACAACATTGGTCCAGCGTACTAAAGAACGCATGACTCATGGTACACACAGACAACTCCACAGTGGCGTTTTACAACAACAAACAAGGGTCAACAAGATCAAAAAGTCTGCTACAACTCAGCTTTCTCCTGTTCAGCATAGTCGATGACCTGAACATCTACATGAAGGCATGCCACATTCCGGGAGCAAAGAATGTCATAGCAGATGCCCTATCTCGTCCACTACAACCATCCCCGACGGAAAGGGTGTTGCATCCAGAAGCATTCCAGTTCATCAGACAGACTTTAGGATCCCCACTAATAGACCTGTTT